CACTGCTTTCTGTATGTTCTTAGGCTGGTAGCTGCTGCTAGCATATTGGTGTTACAATAGTTCTTGATTTCTCTGTCAAGATCCACATTTGTGTGCCCATCCTAGGAGGTGAGGAAGTTGGGGAAGCCCATTGCATGACTGGTTTTAAGCTATTCAAGGGGGCTCCAGCTAAAGTAGGACGTGACCTGCTCTACAGGCTTCTGGAGTTTGTCGAAATTACAGTTAGATATTTCCACATGCTTGTAATGTGCATAAATTTAATCCTCCAGTTCCATCATCACGTCAACAAGAGGATAAGTCTTGTTCCTTCCCCCACCTACACCTCTTCTAGAGGAACTCTGTTACTGCCTCTTCTCTGGCTTGTGTCAGTGAAGGCAATAGGTGCAGTTGGAAGGGCAATGCTGGTATGTGAAGCTGAGAATGTAGCTTGGCTTGACCTTGCCTGCGTTTGGGCACGAGGTAGCTCATAACTATTGGCAGAAGAAAAGTGACTCTAAAAGGTGTCTTCCATTAGTAAAGCCTCCTCAGTGAAATCAAGTTGCTCAGGAGTGGTAAAGCTGTGCTTTTGTGCTCCTTTAAACTGCCCATCTTCAGGCTCCCTGTCCACTCTCCTCTTCTGAACTCAGCATTTGGCCAACATGGAGCTTTTCCAGCTTTCTGGCTCTCAAAGTCTGCTGTACATATTTCTCCTACTGCATATGGGATTTTTTGGCTGCCCTTTTGGCTGGCTCTGAGCTTCTCCCCCACTCCCAGTTCAAGTGCACCTGGCTTTCAAAATGCACTTTTTCTCAAATTAGATTTAGTGGTTCTTCACCAAAATACACATTTTACTATGGGGGGATTGCAAATGTGAGGAGCCCTGCTGGGAACTGGATTTCATTAGCCTTTGGCAGAACTGTATGTGGAGACTAACTTGGTTCTCTGCTGTTAGAGCATTAGTCAATTGCTTTCCTTACCTTTATCCTCATAGTGGTGGCTGAGATCAACATCTGCAATGATTTAATGCTGTTGCCACTTACTCTTTCTGTTCTGCATGCAGATAACCTTTAAGGAATTAGGACAAAGTTATGATTAGTTGGAAAGATAATGGTGTACTTGAGTAGCTGCACCTTGGACCAGTGTGTGATGCTTCTTGAATTGTGGTGTATCGTGATGACCTGTCAAGCTCCTGGGAGAGATGTTTAACAACAGGTTTTCCCTTGTTCTTTGTGCATGATAGCAGTTGGCTTCAAAGATATCCCAAACCTGAACCCTCCCCTTCAAACACCTTTGAATGAGAACTTGCTACGTAACAGAGTAACTCGTTCATGACTATAATGCAGTAAATACAGCTGCTGATAGAATGAACATTTACAATAGTTTTCTTGTAAGCACTCGAAGGTGCTTATTCCTAATGTATTTGACATTAAGGATTCACTGCAGATTTGGGCTATTCTGCTTCTTCCTTCTACATGATCTTAAGGTATGATTTGTGGGTTATTGCCTCCTTCCTCCCCTTCCCAACAGCCCTGACCTTTGTGAGCTTTCCAGTGTTGGCTGCAGTTTTGCTCTGCTCTTGTGTAAAGGGCTGACACTCATACACCGACAGTGATTCTTCCTACACTTTGCACTTTGGGAATCAGACAGCTGTAACTCACAAATCAGGGCAGGTTTTCAGTTTGAAATGCCTACAGTATAATCACTTTAACAAAGCCATGACCTCTTGGCTTGATCTGTTTCTATTTTGCTATGCATTTGTTCCCTTGGTGCTCCTGTCTCTAGACCAGAACACGATAATAACAAGGCAGCAGTACTGTGCTTGGAGAAGACCAAGTAAGGAAACTATTGGGCTCTGAAAGCCTCTTATGTAAGCAATGAAATCTGGAGAGTGTCATTTTCTGTCTGGTTTTGAGCAATAATGGAAATCACTGGCAATTGCCAAAAAAGCAGGAGCACTTTACTTCCCAGGCTCCTGTGGTGTTCCACGGAGCATTCCCTGTAACATGTAGCCTTTTTTCCCTGTTATTCCTCCCTTCCTCAGAAACATGTCTACTTGGAACTGGCAGGTTTCAGCTCTTTTGCAGCTCCTAGCTGGAGATCTTACTGGGAAATGGCCCTCTGGCAGATGTACAGTAGCTGCAAGCATCGCCTCCGCTTACTGATGCTGTTTGATGTCTTGCCTTTGCTGTTCTGAATGACTGAAATACAGAACATTAACCCCAGCCCTTTGTAATGCAGAGTGTTTATTAACTTGTATATGGAGGCTTTTCTACTGCCTTCATTCCCATCTGTCCACCCAGGATTTTACTGTAGCCTGGAATACCTTTCTTGAAGAGCACTTTTACCTCTTGCTGGGGTGGGGAGTCCCACCAAGTGAGCACCATGGTCTAGTGTGAGGTGCCTCTGCCTATGGCAGGGGGTTGGAACTGGATGAGCTTAAGGTCCTTTCCAACCCAAACAACTCTGGTTGTATGAAATCACATTTGTGTGTTCTTTGCCATCTTTATGTGTGCTGATAACAGGGTTGCTCAGATGAACATGAAGCGTTGCACTGAAATATATCACCATCTGAGATGTTGTTTTTCAAGAGGATTTGAAACTGATGGAAATGTAGGTTTAAAACTTCAACCTGGGGAATATTTCCTAAAGGGAGCTATTGCTGCAGTGGTCCAGTTTAATCTTTTCAGATTATTTTTAGGCTTTATGCAGAAGTTACAGTACTTTTAACAGCTTAGTGAATTCAGAACCAGATTCAACCCTGAAAGCTTTTGACAGCTTGTTTTAGTCAAATTACTGAGACTGCTTTTAATAAGAGGATTTACAGGACTTCCATCACTCTCTCATGCCACATATGTCTATTGTGTAGCCCCAGCAGGAGTGCAGCTCATATTATGTTAAAATATGCAGTTACAGCCTTTTATCCCTGCTGCAAAGGCCAGGCAAGGAGGTGTTCTTGAGGAAGTGATTTCTTAGTAGCCAGAACAGCTGGAGAAATAGGATTGAATTAGGATTTGGGATCACTTGGCCTTTGACTTCAGGGATGCATTTCATGATGCATCTTTGTGATGGTGAACCTATAGAAGGCGGATCCCTTCTTGAGCATCTTCCCTGAAGTGCTGTCATCTCTTGGGGTCATCCCAGTATTATGGTGGAAGGTAGGAGAAAAATGCTTTGGTATAGGAGGGAAAAGCACTAAGATTTGGAAAGAAGATAGTCTGTGTCCTATGCCACTGCTTCAGCCTGTTGTGTCTAGTAAACCATGTTGAGGTAGATGTCAGCCTCTCTGTTTGATTCCTGCCTCTGTGGGAATACAGTTTTCCTCTTTCAGCATCCCTTGAAACGGGGACAGTCCAGCAGAGCAAGATCATAACCCAGGCTCCTGTGTTACCTCAAACAGCAGTGTGAAAACAGTGTGATCCTTGTTAACCTCAAGAAGCCACAACAGTGGTCTTAGAGCAGTTTACTACCACGAGCAATTAGAGGCGCTTGTAGTTCCATAGCTTTTCCTCTCTCTCCCTGCAGCACTGGATCATTTGCTGTAATATTTGATCACAGAGCTCACCTCCTCTAGTGCTGGAGCATCCTTGTCAAATGAGGTTGTAATTGAAACCATTTCTGAGGTTAATACTTGCTATTTTTTGAGTGTTCTTGTAGCTGTTCTTCGGAGCTATGGCACAGTTGCTCTTCAGACAGGACTGTGCTGGCAAGGAACAGGCTGTGTGTGTACTCTAGGGACTCTTGGCCTGGTTTTCTTGCCCAGATTATTCTTTAGAGGTCCATCTATGGTGCAGACTTCCCATGTAGCTGTCAGTGTGCAGACGTTTCATGAGTGTGGCCACGCAGCGGGAAGGGGAATGCTGTTTAATGAGTGCACATCAGAAATCTTACCAAGGCTTTAACCTTTCTGTGTTCTCATATCCATTGAACTGTCTTTCAGCCCTCTCCCTGGAAATAAGCCATGAATTTAAGGAGAGGGATGACACAATCTGAGGTTTATCAGCTGTGTGGCACTCTAACCCTGCTTGCTGAAGGGAGCACAGCAATATATGACAGGTTTGGTGCATAATCTGTCTGGCCAGCTGTATTCTAATCCTGGAGTTTCAGGGGGGGCTGTTGGGGGAAGAGTCTAGCTTTAAGGCAACACTGTTTTCAATGGATACCTTGGAAAATAGGATTAGAAAACAATTTAAGATGTCTGTGCTCTTAACACAGCTCCAAAGCTGGTAAGTATGGAAGGATTCCATGCAATAATAAAGATATTTTGGCCTGATCAAGAATGTCAGCTCAGCATCTTGTTTCAGAAGGCAAAAATCACGTGCTCTGTCAAAATACCTTTGGTGCTGTTGATTTCCCAGCTGTCAAAAGGGTATTTTGGCCTGTGTGTGTATATAGCACTTTACCGTAGCAGGTTGTGAGGCTTCCCGAGCTGTGGTGGTCCAGCTACTTCAGGAAGTAGGTCACTTGGATGTTGGGGAATTCCCTCCCTTGGAAGTCCAAAATAGATGGCAGGAATGGTCAGAGCAGGGTTCAGAGTCATGAGCTGTGCAGGGCAGAAGGTGAAAGCTTTAGCCTTTCCCCCCTGTGTAGACGGGTCATAGGAAGCCAGAAATCCCTGCAGAGAAAAGCCATCTGGCCGTGAGCACTCAACACTTGCCAATTGCAAAGTTCACACAATTGAAAGGGGCTTGAAAACCCATCAGTCTGCTTGGAGGTACCTCCGAGCTGGTGTGTGCTGCAAGCACAACTGCCACAGATGGATCCCGCAGAGTGGCTGGAGAAGCACATCCTGCCATGAAGCCATGCTCCAAATGGGAGTGTGCTGCTCCCAGTGGGAGTGGGCTGTTCCAGACTATCTCCATCCACCAGTGCCCAGTGTTGCGTTTTTCCTATGCAAATTGTGTTACTGTAGATGCTAATGTCTCCTCTAACTCTTTGTTTTCTGTACCCCATTGCTTTGTTCTTTATAAGCTCTTTTGTTTTCTGCCGCTCTGTCACTGCGTTTCTGCTGCCCCTCCCTCTAGCTGGGTTTGTCAAGTCGCCCATGTCAGAAACTAAACTCACGGGGGACGCCTTTGAACTGTACTGTGATGTGGTTGGGAACCCCACTCCAGAGATCCAGTGGTGGTATGCTGAAGTCAACCGGGCTGAGTCTTTCAAACAGCTGTGGGATGGCGCTCGGAAGCGCCGTGTCACCATTAACACTGCCTACGGGGCGAATGGGGTGAGTGTGCTGAGGATAACCCGCCTTACCTTGGAAGACTCTGGGACTTACGAGTGCAGGGCCAGCAACGATCCCAGGAGGAATGACTTGAGGCAAAATCCCTCCATAACGTGGATTCGAGCCCAGGCTACTATAAGCGTCCTTCAGAGTGAGTCCGGCACCCTACAGTAGTGGCACTGTAGTCTCTAGAGGCAGTCTAGTGACCCTCACCCTCCTGTCACCCCCATCCAACCCTCTGCTCCCTTGTGCTGTTGTTCTGAACCCACGACTGCTCCTCCACCTGTAGTGCGGCCGTTGTCTGCCCTCTGTGTCTCTTCTCCTTAGGATCAAAGGACTTGGGAAAAATCTGCGGATTAGTTTCAGAGCTTCTGTGTGAAAACAAGCCCAGTGTTGAATCTGTGTTTCATCCCTCCCCCCTTTAGTGTCATAGTAGGTTTCTAGTCACCCTAACACTGGCTTCTCCATGAGTGCCTTCATATTTGATTTGTGTTCTTCCCAGGTCTAGCCATTTCATTTTTCTTCTGTTCTCTTGGAGTTCTCTCTGAATGCCTTCTCACATGGTTTCGGTTGCATATATGCTGCTGTACAACTCCTTCCCTTTCAGTTACATGTGGCCTTTAATGGTGAGATTTTTCCATGAAGTCGTGGTGTTTCTTTTCCTTTCTGAACTGCAGCATGTTCCTGGTGGCTTCTCTGATGCAGCAGCGCTGAACTGAACTGATGCAGCAGCACTGAACTGAACTGATGCAGCAGCACTGAACCTGATGCAGATATTTTTAACCCAGCCTATGAAGAAAGGGGGGCGGGGAGGGGGGATATCTTCCTCCCCAGTGTTGAACTAATAACATTTAGCTAATGATTTTCATCTGAGAAGGCAACTTTGGACAGCAGGAAAAGCTTTCAGAAGCAGAGAATATAGTTGACCCAGAATGGCTTTTTTTGTTCTTTATTGTTAGAAGACTCTCCTGTATTAAGCTTGCTTTTAAAGCAGTCCCAGATGAGCTTGGACACTTATGTTGTAGAGGTAGTAAGGAAGAACCCTGTTTCATTTTGTGTAAGGTGTAAAACTCTTACCTTCACTAACAAGAGGAAGCAAGTGTCTAATGAGTTACAGGTAGAGTGAACTACATGTGCAACATGAGCATGGGGGTACAGGAGAACTTGCTTTCTCTGTGCTTTCTCAGTGTCCTAACATGGCAAAGAGTGGAGTGTAGGCTTTATGTTGTTCTTGCACTCTGTGCCTAAATAAACCTTTTTTTTGTGAGTACCACGTTTGGGATTTGTCTGGGCACAAAGATGCCAAACTCTGTAATTATGTCTCAGGTTTTGGAACACCTTTAAATATCAACCCCAAACTCTTTCTAAAATGTGCTGCTGCCATCAGTGCTGCCTGGATCAGAGACCTTCCCTCTGGGAAATGGAAACAACATGGATATATGCGGAAAAATTGAGAGGAAACCCAATGATGTGGACTGACTTGTGGATTTAAGTGGCATTGGGTCATTCAGCTCAAACCCACTCAGCTTTCAGTCCTACTGCTTGGCTCCTCCTTTGCCCTTTGAGGTCCCAAAGGACTTGGATGTGTAGATTACTTGCATGACCTACAACAGCAAGGGCTATGTAATTGTAGGAAATGATACAACCTTAAGACAAAGCTGAAAGATTTGTCTTCTAGGAAGTATTGTCTCCTGGACATCCCCTCTGCCCCTGTAAGACCTCTAGTTCTTCTGGAGCATGACAAGCCTGGTGTCCTCTTTGTGACCAGTCAGTGTTAGTAACCTACTGAGGGTTCATATGAAAAGTCACCATTTGGGATTGAATTACTGTGAAGATGTCTCCATATGGAAAGTGGGTTTTTCCTCTCTCAGGCCTTTGATACTAACCTGCTCCAGGGATTGAAGTTTAACCTTCATTTACTCCCCAGTTAATATCATCTTGTTGCGTCTGATGCTAATTCTGAAGTGTGTGTTGTGACTTCATTGCCAAGTGCCTTATGCCCAGGGTAATTCTGCTGCTTTGTGGTTTACTCTTGTATTTGAACCAATTACTTTAATGCTTTAATTCTGTAACACTGTGTATGAGACCAGCTTCTGCTTGGGAAACAGACCACTTGGACATCAAACTCCTGCAACACCATGCTGGAAATGGCGATAATGGGAGGGAAAACAGGTTTCCGAGCTGACCCTGGAAGGTGGAGACCATCTGACCATCTGAAGCTGCCCAAAATGTCTCAGCTGTGCTATCGTGTGTGTGAACACGATTTGCCATCAAAATGGGAATTTCTGATTAAACACGTTGGTGTTTCTAGCTAACGATGGCCAGTTTGCTGCTGACTTCACATGGCATCACTGAAACAGAACGTCAGATGTATCAAAAGAGTGCTGTCCTTTCAATCACAGCTTGTCTCAAATACCAGCATTTGAATGCAGAGAGGCCAAGTGCAATTTGGTTTTGAAAATCAAGTTTTAGCCCCAGGAGCAAGCATCTGGCTTCTATCTCATTCCTCATTTAGACGAAGAATTTCACTTACTGATGGTTGGTTTGGTTTGGGCTTTTTAACTTGAAAACTTGATCTCATAAAATGGGCAGTTTGAGTGATCTGTGAAAGAGACTCTTCAGCGTTTTGCTTTTTCAAGTGGATGTTCTTTGGATGTCACTGTCCCAGTAGTATTCCATTTGCAGTTTGTCTCCTAGAATTAAATGGGAGTACAACTGCCCAATTGCTTGTTTATTGAGATCAATCAGAATACCATAAATTCAGGTAAAAGGTGTAAAGGAGATTGCAGTTGCCTTGCGTTTTCTTCACCTAAAAGTTAAAAAGCTGCAAGTCCAGCACAGCAGGCTTGAGAGCGCTAAGTGTTGTCTGGACATTGCAGCTTAGCAGAGATGGATGTAAGAGCTGCAGATCCAGGCAGGGATTTTTTTTCTATGTTCTTTGTTGTTTTGTATGGTTTTCGTAGGGTTTTTTTGTATGTGCATAAAGCCTGTAGGGACAGGCCAAGGGGAATGGCTTGAACCTGCCTGAGGGGAGACTGAGATGAGCTCTTAGGCAGAAGCTCTTCCCTGTGAGGGTGCTGAGGCACTGGCACAGGGTGCCCAGAGAAGCTGTGGCTGCCCCATCCCTGGCAGTGTTCAAGGCCAGGTTGGACACAGGGGCTTGGAGCAAGCTGCTCCAGTGGAAGGGGTCCCTGCCCGTGGCAGGGGTTGGAGCTGGATGAGCTTGAAGGTCCCTTCCAACACAAACCAGGCTGGGATTCTGCTTCACCAGTGTTGATGCCAAAGAGTCCATTGTCAGTAGAACATGAAAGCAGATTCCCACTGTCAAACCCCTTCTGGATTAAGTCTTTAACTTTCCAGTTTATGTAGGGGCTAGGTCCATGTTTTCTTGGTGCCTTTTTCCTGGTGCTGGCATTTGTGCAGTGCTCTCTGATGGCAGCATGTGTGCTTCCTGTTTCCAGCATCACTGCAGGCTGATCGCTGCTTCAGATTGTGTCTCAGCCCAGCACAGACAGCATCAGCATCTGTTCCAACAGCACTTGTTGGATGTGGTGCTGTCCTGCCAGGGACTTCCTCCTAAAAGGAGACCATAGCACATACTTTGCAGGCTACAGGCTTGGAGACCCTGCCTTGAACATCCAAGAAAAAGCATTCATTTTGTACCCCATAGGACCCAAGTATGGGAAAATGAAGCAGAAACACAGTTGAAAGTACGTGGTAACAGCAAAATGTCAAAACCCCTCCGTTGCTCCAGTACCTGACAGTTTTTCTGCACTAAAATGATAGTCCTAATTTTAAATAGATGTGAAAAGAAGCTGTGTAGCTGAAGAAAGGGGGAAAAGAGGCACAGAACTGGAATGCCTTTGTTAGGTTATTAGTAGGTGAATATTTTATTCCCTGCCTCCCCGGGCTATAGTCTAGTACTGGACTATTGGCTAGATGAATGTTTAATGTTGAAAAATGCCATAGTGGTATTTTCCACTTCCCCTCATTCTGTTTCGTAACTGGTGTTCCAAGCACTTTGCAGATGAATATCCAAAAGGCTGCATGGCTGTGTCTAAATTTATATCCCAGATATGTTACCAGGAGGCATAACTAAATGTACAGCATTAAAAAGCCCTTTGCTGACTTGCAGAAGTGACAAAGAGGTTCATCCCTGACCGACTTCCTCACCCGACCAGCACCATGGGAGCGTGGTGGGTGAAATGAGCAGCAGGTAACAGCTACCTCTTTGGAATTCATTTCAACCTTGGAAGTAATGAGATGCATCAAAGGAGAGGACACACAGCAGCACTGCCATGGTAGATGCTGCTATAGCAGTGGCCTATAGCTCAAGCTGAACTATAGCTGCTACTAAATCTAGATGGTTTTGGAAGGCTGATAGCAATACTGCGTTTCCTTTGAGCTCTGTCATCCTGGGATAGGTTTCTGGGATTTACAGAAAGCTTGACATGAGGCCTTCAATAAAAAGGTCTTTTTTTTTTTCCCAAGTTTGGAAAGAAACTTGACTCTCCTAAAATCTCATCAACCTTATTTGTTAGAGGGTAATAGCCATCTACACGATCTTAAGAGAATGTGGTTATCAAGTAAATGTAAGGACAGTGCCCTCATGCCAGTATTATCACTTCTGAAAGACTGTCCCCTAAAAAAGGTGAGTTTGATGTTCCCAGCTAAGGCTGTAATGTGACACAGCCTGGCTTCAGTGCCTGTTGCAGCTGTCACCATGTATAATGCCTGTGGTCTGCTTGTGCAATGAGGCTCGCATTTGCTTTATGCTCTTCATAAATGTTTAAGGTTACTTTAGACATCAGATGGTTCCAGACTCTGATTTTAACGTGGTGCATATTCTTACTTCTTATTTTTAAGGGCTGCTTTCAGCCATTTGTCATCAGACTCGTGCCTTATTCGCACTCAGATTTCAGACATCAGCAGAGTTGGGCCATTTGCAGTATCTTGTGTTCACAGGGTATTTTCCATATGTAGACATGAGCCTTTTTGCAGGAGGAAGTCCAGAAATATTATTCAGAAGAATTCTCTCTTAAACTTCTCTATAGGAAATGGGTTTATTTTTAAACATCAAAGTAGAGGAACCAACTTACAACCAGAAAGAAGTTGCTTCCAAAGGCCTGGCTGTATGGTCACAGGACATGTGTTTTTCCATGTCACAGTCAGTAGTGTTGAAATTAGCCTTTGCTTAACAGTGTTACACAGGAATCTGTAGTGATGTTGAATATTAAACAATCTAAATAATAATTCTCTCTTTCCCATATAGGAGTGCTGATCCATAAGGTGTTGCCTTCACCAAGTTCTATCGTGACTTTCTTGCTGTCTCCCAGATTAGTGCACTTGCATTCCTTGTGTAGTCTTTTTCCCTTCCCAACTCCCCCTTTTGGATTTTAGACTAGTGTGGCACGGTTGCCAGGGAGGATTTGTGGCTATTTAACATGTCCTTTGTTTCAGAGCCCAGGATCAATGCCAGCGAGGATGTAGTCATTCACCTGTACGGTCCGGCTGTCACATTGCAGTGTAACCTCACCACAAGTCCCAGTCCCCTTTCTGCCAGTTACTGGGTGAAGAATGGAGAAGAGATCCCTGGCACTAGAAAACCTTCAAACACTACAGAGTACAAGTAAGTCCTTTCGGAATCATCTTCATGGGAGAATGATAAACCTGGTAAAGCTATGGCTTTGGAACACACACTGGGATTCCAGGCTTCCTGGTTCAGCTTCATAGTGGTCACATGAATGGAGCTGATCTGCTCTAGAGGTTCCACAGAGTATGAATAGTGTTGAAAGAAAGATTCTGGGAAGTTTGTTGACTTCAGTGTACATCTAACATGAAGATAGATCTGCAGCTGTGCATCTTCACCACAGAGGGAATCCCAGCACACAAATCACTGCTGAATTCAGCTGGTTTAGTCATTTTCTGGCCTTGGGAGATAAGCTCTGTGTTCTGTGAGTTGTTGGTGATGAGTTGTCAGGTCACTACTATGAAATGATACTAAATCTTGATTAAGCCATTGCAGCTGTATCGCTCATGCTTCTTATTTGTTAGTACCCCACATTTTCGGCTTTAATCTGTTCCACATGCACATGTTCTGGCTTTGTCTCTACCTTCTGGTGTGAAGAACAGAACATTTTCAACCATCTCTCCTGTTTCACTGTAGAATCATAGTATCAAAGGCTGGTTTGGGTTGAAAGGGACCTTAAGGCTCATCCAGTTCCAGTCCCTGCCACAGGCAGGGACACCTTCCACTAGAGCACCTTGCTCCAAGCCCCATGCAACCTGGCCTTGGACACTGCCAGGGATGGGGCAGAAATCCTTGGAGGGTTTCTGTATTCCTGCAGTGGTGCTATCTTGCCATGGAGTTGATGAGAGCATGTGAAGCTCGCTCTCATCTTGAAGTGGTGCCATCAGAGATCTGTTTTGTGCGTGCGATTTTCTTGCTTTCTTATTTTGTCCTTCCGTTCCCTTCACTCCAGGCCAGCAGGGATAGCAAATCCAGCTTTGTGGTCACTGTCAAGCAAAGATGAAGAGCACTTAAGGAATGTTTTAACCATTGGTGGTAACTCATTCTTTGGAGGCATTAGAGCCCTTCTGACCCTCCTACTCAGCTTTTAACGCCAGGACAAGGTGCTTATGTCTGGTCAGGGCCCACTACGTTATATATAGTGCTTGTTGTTTAATGTTCCTTGGCTGTACAGTGAAGCAAGGAAACATGCCTACGCACTCAGTGGGCTTTTTTCCATCTCTAGCAGGCTACTGTGGGCTCTTTACCACGCTGGTGTTGCTTCTTGGTACAGGATGAAGAGACATTCCAGGTTTTCCTTGCCTTAGCAAAGCATCCTTTCATCCACAGGATTATGGAAGTGAGGTTTGATTCTGATAAAGCTGTGTTCAAGTTTTCACCTTTTGCTCCCACTTTAGCTCACCTTGCATTATCTGTTCAGTTTTGCAGTTAAAAAAAGTCTCAGTTCCAGAATTCCGTCTTGTTACTTCCTGCATCCAGTGTTTAACACTGGGGCTGAGTTTTGAAGACTCTGCTTTCTTATCTAGCAATTAACTTGATGAGTAGCTTTGCCTAAAAACACCAGTTTGAGTGGTACAAGAGGCGTTTTGCATCACGGGTACTGAAAATTGCATGTTATTATTCAGGGAACTAAGTGTCAGTCTGACTTCTTTACAGCCTGTTCCAAGCCAGGGTGGATTTTTCCTTCCAAATTCCTTAGTAAAGGAAGAACTAGACTCGTTTTCAGTTTTCACTTCCTGGAGAAGAAAGCAGTGAGATGGGCAAACCATAAAGTCCCTTTGTTCCTGGTGAGTGAAGGGGTTGCTGGGCCACACTGCAGTCACAGGGACAGCTTGAGGAACGAGTAGATCTGCACTTGCAAAGTAAAGCTTGAATTCCTGATTGTTTTTAAGCTGCTTTGCTGCATTTTGTGGGTTCAGGCTTTCTGTGGCATTTTGTTGGTGCAGATGATCACACAGTTTGGTCTGTTTAACTTCTAGTTTGAGTTAGTTACTCTTTAAATCTAGCAGCACCAGATCCTGCCTGTGAGGATCCAAGCAAGCAATGGCAGCATAGATGTGGTTAAAAAGAGGAGATTTAACACCAGCATTGGTTAATCTTCTGTATACTCTTAATTTTCCTTTAAAAAGTTTCAGGTTCTTGGCTTTTCAGTCATTAACATGCATTGGCTGGGTGTAAAATGTTGTTAGTACTTGAAGGTCAGTGTTGTCTGCCATCAGAAAGCCTCAGAATTTATAGGTTCAACTACTTACTTTAAACCCCTTGCTTCAGACAGCATTAAAGATGGAATACAGTGTTCTTAATTCTTCATTTGACCTTGATGGAGCTGTTCTTGCTGGAAAGCAGCTAAAATCAGGATGCTCACAGTTAAATCTAGGGGTTTAGTTCACCATTTTAATGACAAAGGGGCAAGAATTATTTGCAGTGTATTATTGTACAGGCAGAAGGTGCCTAGAAGTGGTTCTGGCCATCCTGTGCGTTCATTGTGGACTCTTGTCTGCACCCATAGGTTAGAGGACAAAAGTAGCGAGTTCTTTGCAAACTTCTCACCAGTTAATTCAGACTTACTGAGCTAAACCAATCCAGCCCTTGGGGTTTATTTGTAGTTCTTGTTTCACATCTGCTGAAAAGGCTCCATCTGCAAAAAGCTGGGCTCTTCCTGAACCCACAGGCCTGAAGGAAGCTGTTGCTAAGGAGGCTTGTTTCAGGTGATTGTCTGTCTTTAAAGCTTGGCAGCTGGATCAGTTTACATTTGCTTTAATGATTCATGGTAATAACACTCGAGTACTGGCTCTTGTAGTTTCACACACAAGAAAAGCAGTCTGTGGGGAACCGAAAGAATACAGCATCTTCCCCCCCAGCTTTTAAGTATTGACTATACTGGATAAGAAAAAGCAGCGGTCAGAGTATGATAACTGAATTGTTAAGGTCCTAAATGCTATTATAGAAAGCCAAGTATTTTCTGCCTACCACACTATTGCAGATCCTTAAAATAGATGATCTGAAACACAATAGCAGCCTTCCAGTATCTGAAGGGGGCTACAAGGATGCTGGAGAGGGACTCTTCATCAGGGACTGTAGCAATAGGACAAGGGGTGATGGGTTCAAACTGAAACAGGGGAAGTTCAGGTTAGATCTAAGGCAGAAGCTCTTCCCTGTGAGGGTGCTGAGGTGCTGGCACAGGGTGCCCAAAGAAGTGGTAAATGCTCCATCCATGGCAGTGTTCAAGGCCAGGTTGGATGGACTCTTGGGCAACATGGCCTAGGTTGAGGCATCCCTGCCCATGGCAGGGGATTGGAGCTGGGTGGTCTTAAGGTCCTTTCCAACCCAAACCATTATATGATTCTATGTATTAACTTCATAACCAACTTCAGGCTTTCACCAGCAGTTCTGGAAAGTAAGTGCTCTAACCAGTGAAGACTGAGTCCAAAGGCTGTGTTTATCTGAGCAGCTTTTTCCATGTGTCTAAGCAGTCTCCATGTATAAGGAAGCAGTTGAATTATTTCCTTACAGTGCTCTCTGCAGGGCTGCTCCTCATCTGCATGTGATTTACTTCATGTGTTTTAAAACTGATAATAATAAAACAAAGTCAAGAAGCCTTTCAGCAGAGGGAGGGATGAGGAGAACCCTGTGGAGATGTAAATTCTGCATCACATCCTTATATGCTTCCCTAGTCTAAGATGCCTTTTGTAGGTCAGTATCTGAAGAACGTATGCATAGAGCTTTTAAGTATCCAGAAGCTTTCTGAAAGACAACAAAAGCTGGTGAACTTGAAGGTAGCACCATCTCGAGTGTAACTTCATCTTCATTTCTTGGGTGCTTGACGTTTGTCATAGCTCAGCTTTAACTCTGGCTGGTTTGCCCTCAGCTGGTTGTTACTGCATCGGTCTTGCCTAATTCTCAGTGGGAGCAGATTCCTGTGTGCTGTCTTCCTTCAGGAGCTGACCAGCTTTTGTGGTTTTTCCACATCCAGTTTGAATCAGAGAAAACTATTAATGGAGCAGCCTCATACGTGCTCTGGAGAAAGGAAAACAGCTTTGAAGAGGAGTGTCAGCCTTGACTGTATTTTAGTCTGTTGCTTCCAATTGGCCATGCTATACTACTGATGTACAGTAGTATACATCTCCGTACTCAGTGGAGGTAGTACCTTCACATCCTGTTTCTCACTCAGTGGGAGGCAGTACCTGCCTAGTAGGCTACTGACTTGAAGATGACTTGCTTGCATCAAACTAACTGTAGTGTGTAGTTAATTGATGTTGGGCTCCTTCTTTGCTTTTGAACTAAATGCAGCTTTTCCAGCTAAATTGCTACTGACTTTCCAGACTAGAGCTCACCCTTTTTTTTTTGGCCAGCACCAGCCTCTATTTCAAGTAGGTACATCTGTACAACACCCCTTGAACCAACAGGCAATAGCTGTGAAATTCAGTGCAAAGATTAACATGTGTGGGGAAGAAATAAGCTCCTGGCCTGCTTGGGTTTGGTTGCTAACACACAGTATTTAACACGGCTCCTGTGTTCTCTCCCTGTCTGCAGGATTTTGAAGCCCAGAGCAGAAGAGTCAGGGGAGTACTTGTGCGTGTTTGTGTTTTCAAACTCTCCCATAGCCAACGCCACTATAGAAGTGAGAGGTACTCTTTTGTTTGCTTCTTTTTTTGTGTGCTTTTTGTTTCGTCTGCCTGCAAGTGAAATGCTTTTACTGCCTCTGCCGTTTGCTGTGTGTCTGTAATTCAAGGCCTCTCTTAATGATACAGAGCCTGTGTCCAATCCTTGCTTAGGATTTTAAGGGAAAGTCATAGGGGAAAGATCTCGTGGATATGGGAGTGTGGCCACTGCATTTGTGGCCCACACAGGGGATGCTAAAACATCTCCTAGCACATGCCCCTGTGCTGCTTCGGTAAATCCGGCTATCAGAGGAGAGCAAGCCTGGCCAGCAGGATAAAGATTGCTGTAGAATATGTGTTTGCTCCTGCAAGCAAAGGCTGTTGCTTCCTCCCTGTCTCACAGTAACTCAGGCCATTTGAATGCATTCAGTGTACTTTGAATTTGTCCTGAAAAGAGGGGAAAAGAGAACCATCATCTCCTGTGTGGCAGCTTGGAACTGGTTTTGTCTGCAGGAGCTATTTCAGTTCCTGGGAAGGCCTGGGTTCTGGTTAGGACAGATGCCCTGTACCAGATGGGGGGTTTCTACTTTCATGCACCTTTTTTTGTCACTGTCTTGTGCATGTTGGTAGCTTCCTGACATCTTTAGGAACCTAAAATCATGGATAGAAGCTGCAGAATGTGAAAGGTTTGCACTGAGCTTTGCTGTAATTGTCGAACAAAAGAGCAGGGTTTCTGTTAGATGTAGAACATAGGGGTAATAGGATAATGTGAATATATAGGATATATGAAAGTGATGGAGTTTTATACAGTGTTAAACTCCTGCCACAATGCAGTTGAATAACTGAAAATCACTGCAGGAGCCTTGGTTTTCCCCTTGTGTGCTGCAGTAGGTTGGAATTAGGGCAGCTTTGTTAACCAAAGGTAGGTGAGTTAACCCAAAACCATGTTTAAAGTCCCACAGCCAGCCTATATGTGCCCAGGACTATGCTGATGCTTGCTTTATGGAGGTGTACTTACTGTAAACTCATCTGAAAGCAGCCCAGCATTCTTTACCATCCTCCTTGGAGCCCTAGTTCAATGTGAGCTTCCCCTGCTGCTGTTTGAACATAGCAAGGGGAAAGGAGGCTGCTTCACACTGTGTCTCAGCACCCTTGCACAGTGATGCAGCTTAGCCTGATGTGTATTGTGATCCTTGCTGTTTAAATCAGGGCCGCAGATCTGTAGCAAAAGCTGACCTCTTTCCTGGGCATTTCTGGTGCATGGTCAGGCTCCCGGATCCAAAGGGAGGAAGTGGGAGTAATTCAGCAGGCTGTGGGAAATGACAAATGGGCAGTGTTATTCTGAATGCCATCTTTCCTCTCCAGAGAGCAGCGGTTTTGAACCATGCAGACATAAATATTGCCAGAGCAATGAGCATTCTGACTGATGCTGTACCAAGAAAAGCTTGCTGATTTGCTGGGTTGGCTTTCAGAGTTGCTCTTCCAATGATCTTGCATAAAACAACCTGTCAAAATGTAGTGTGGAAGCAAATGTGATGCAGAAGCTGCTTCTGCAAGGACAAAGGAGGTGTAAGTCCATGCTCATGCTCATTGTCATGCAGCACAAGTTTGTGCTGGCCCAGCTGAGAGGTGTGTGACACGTGGACACATGAGAAATGGATCAGTAGTGATGAGCTATCTGACTGCCCCATTGAAAGCATTGAAAGCTTGCTGACAGCAAGCTGAATTCAAACTTGCATTGTACTTCTGGTGAGCTCGTCTGCTGGGTGCTCAGGGTGCATGAGTGCAGGTTGGGTTTTCTTTCCTCTTTGGGATATTTGCTTGTGTTCTGCTCCTACACCCTCCTGGCTAAATCTTCTCATGTTATCTTAATGAGGATCTTAAGCCCTTTCTGCTTTCTGAAGGCTGCTTTGGGCAGCAAACCTCTTCTAGAGACTGAACTTTGGTACTAGACTGGGTAAGACCTTTTTACAGCTCTGTATGAGTTCTCAAAAGAGCTTTTGGAAACATTTGGCTTGGGGCTTCTCTGCTGCCAGAGGCAGGGACACAGAACTTGGCAGAGAGCTTTACAGGGACACAGGATTTCATGGTGGAAAAAACAAAGCCCATAGATCTGACTGGAGTAGTGGCACAAGGGGCTGAGAGAGAAGAGTAACTAATCCTAACAGCTTCTCACAGGTTCCTTATACATAAATACAGATAAGTAACCATCAGGTAAAGGGTGATGATTCCAGCACTGCCCTGGGGAAGCTTTGCACCTGCATTTTGCTCAGCAGTCACAACTCCAGGACTTGTTCTCCAGCTCCTCCTCACAGCATCCCAGAGTGGCTGATGGGCCTCAAACTCCTCCTTGGCAGAGAGAAGTACCAGGGCTTGTCTCGGGTGGGAAGTACCTTGCCCAGTCTTTTGCAAAGCAAATTGGAACAAGTGTATACTTCTGAACTGAACAGCCACTTTCCTACCCAACTCCTGTTATTTGGAAACATATGTAGTAATAAGTTGGGATGAATTCAAAGCACAAGTTGGAGAATGTTGCAGTCTAATTGCAGTCCTAGTGCTGTACGTAACTTCATTAGATCAGAGAGTATTCCTCTGCTAGTGCTCCTACAAGAGCTGTACAGCTCGACTTCAATGGCATCACACCCATTTTCTTGGCTGTAAAGGTCTCTGAATAATATCCATGCTATTGCAAAGAATACCCAGGCCCTTTGTTTCATTTTCCTTTGCAGAGGAAGGCAGTTTGGGGTAAATATTGTACACATTCTGTCAAAGCAGTTCTAGTTCTCAAAGCAAACAGCTTTATTTTGATGCTTCATGTTACCTACTTGTTCATTGTGATCTATTAGTGATGCATGAATCTTGCTTGGCCATGCAGATGCTGTAATTTCATGCTTACCTGCGTGTGTGGCCTGTCACAGTATGCTTGTGGTTAAGCAATTAGACACAAATGTCATTGCTTAATAGCTAATTAAGACGATACTGCAATTTTGAACTGCTGATGTACATAGAAAAGATGGTTCTGACTTGTGGCCCAAAATAGGGCCTTCCTGACAACTTGTGAACAACTCGAACAAATGCCTCGCAGCAGATGTAGTCCAGGATACACCAGCACCAGTTGCCTTTTATGTAATGCTGCCCCTTTTATTCCTGAATCCCTACATGTGCTCTGCAGGAAGCTAAAAATGCAGGAAGATGAGCGTGGCTGTGGGAATTGCTGGATTGCAGATTTCAAGCAGGTTTTCTTGGTAACAAACTTCCTAAGGCAGCAGTGGAAAACAGTGGGGTTTAATGTCAATCTCCTGGAATTCCCAGTTGGCTTTTGGCTGAAGTGCCTGCTGAAGACCCAGAGTATCTCTCCTGTTCCTCTGAGCTGTTAGGGGCATTGTGTGAGTACAGCTCTAAGCCTGAAACGACAGCCTGAGCAAATGGTGATATTAGGAAGCTTCTGCCTTAAAACAGGGATTCTTGTCCCCACCTCTGCTCCTGCAGCGGAGCGGGCTGGCTGGGAGCACTGGAGGTAGCCAGACTCTGGTGTGTGATGGGGCTATTTCCAGCAGAAGCAGTGATGATGCTCCTGTCAGGCACTGTGCTGCCTGCTCCCCATCTGGAGGTAGGCTTTTGGAATTGCCGTTGCCACACAGTGGAAATACCTGCAGTGCTGTTGCTGTGCGGTGCCAGAGCTCTGGAAATGTGAAGATTAAAAGAAAGGAAAATAACCAGTGAGCTACAGCCGTGAGGAATTCTGCCTCTGCAGTCTTTCTGCTCTTATACAGATCCTGGGGAAGGAGGAGGAAATGGGTTTTTGTTTTCGGATGCTCCAGACCATCATCTGGTGCACAGCAGCAGCAGTGAGAACCGGATGGGGAAGAACATGCCCTTTAAGTAGCAGGAACATCAAGGAAGATGCTGATGTGTGTAGTATGAGTGACGGAGGGCAGTTGTCCTCTCCACCCTGCCTTCTTCCCATGCACCTGGAGAGGCAGAACTTCTTAGTGCCTCTTCGTACAACGCCTTTGTGCCATTATCTCATCAAGGGAATCTTCTGACCTCCCTCCTCATCCCTCACTCATTTTTGTAGAATCCCAGACTGGTTTGGGTTGGAAGGGACCTCAAAGCTCATCCAGCTCCAACCCCTGCCACAGGCAGGGACCCCTTCCACTGGAGCAGCTTGCTCCAAGCCCCTGTGTCCAACCTGGCCTTGAACACTGCCAGGGATGGGGCAGCCACAGCTTCTCTGGGCACCCTGTGCCAGCGCCTCAGCACCCCCACAGGGAAGAGCTTCTGCCTAAGAGCTCAGCTCAGTCTCCCCTCGGGCAGGTTCAAGCCATTCCCCTTGGCCTGTCCCTACAGGCCCTTGTCCCAAGCCCCTCTCCAGGTTTCCTGCAGCCCCTTTAGGCACTGGAGCTGCTCTAAGGTCTCCCCTTCAGGAGCCTTCACTTCTCCAGGCTGCCCCAGCCCAGCTCTCAGCCTGGCTCCAGAGCAGAGCTGCTCCAGCCCTTGCAGCATCTTCATGGCCTCCTCTGGACTCACTTCACCTTTACCTGTATCCTCCCCAGTTGGTGTTTGTTACCCAGTGACAGCAAGTGCTCAGCCCTGTCCCAGTCACTGCTTTGGAGAGATATAAACCAGCTTTTTAACCCCCCCCCAGGCCCAGCTGAGCTGGGCTCTTGTTGCACACGTGATACCTGCACTTGGAATGTTACTTACCCACTCTCATTCTGGCTCCAGCCCAAGCAGTGTGCTGGGAAACGAGTGGCTATTTCAGTTGGTGTTTCTTGGAAGATCCTGGTTTCCTGGCTCTTGGCTGTCTTCACAGACCTCTGCTGCAGCTTCACAGCACTGGCCCAGAAGCTCATTAATAAATCAGATGCTCTCATAGCACAGCTGCATCTCAGAGTGGTCCAAGGCATTGCACAGAAAATGCACATCACTTTCTCCCTGCAGAACCTGTGGTGCCTCAGCTCTCTGCCCAGGCTATCAAGTTAGTCAGGGATAGGAACTACAACACAGGAAAAGAAACCTTCCAGAGCCCTTTTACTGGGGCACCCATAAACCAGCATATTTTTAGGTGCTTCTGCCCTTGCTTTAATTTTGTCTGTTAATGGGAAAACTTGCAGAGGTTCTGTTAACTGGGCCATGGTTTGGAGGTGTTACACCTATTAATAATGCTGGTACCATATCCTGCAACTACCTGCAAATTAAGGGCTGAATGTCTCCTAGATATGAAGAAATGACATTGTAGTAAGACAAACCAACCTCTGGCACAAACCCGTTTTCTGCTGGGATTCACTTTAGAGCTATCCAAAGCATTGATGCTTATCAGAAGTTCACTCGTGTCAGAATAGCTAAATCTGTATTTATTTGGGGGGTTTTGAGAGCAGTTAATTGAAACTGCCCCTCTTTTTGCTCTTCCATGTGCCCTGGCAAACAAACTTCCAATGTTCTCTGTTTCACAACGTAAGAATAAAAACCTTGCTGCCTTTTATTGGGGCCATTACTTGGTTTCATTGCTGCCGGAGCTGACATAGCGTGTTGTGCCCACGTCTCGGTAGCCAGCTGGATATGAACAGAGATGTGGATTCTGCTGCTTAAAAGCTGAAAGGAAATCTAAATCCTTCCTGAACAAACCCTGCTTCATTCCATGCTTTATCTGTTACTGGCACCGGAGCAGGAAGGTGTCAGAAGGAGCTTGACTTGATAAGCTTCCCAGGCAAACATCACTGCTGCTAAATCTGACTGGGGTCAGTTGCCAGTGATATGTGAATTGTAGTCTGTACAGCAGAGCCCAGCCAGCTGGGTAGAATAAGCACTGCATTAATGTCTCAGGCAGACCTAGAAGCTGGCTAGCATCGTGCCCTGGATATATGAATACTCCCTGGGGTGCTCCCCTCAGACCGAGTACAGAGCTGGATCCGGCTGCACCAGAACTGCACCCAGGAGGAGAGAGCAGGATGTGTTCCTGTTGCTTGTGCTCTCCTTGGGGTGACTGGGTGAAGATGGCCTCTTCTTAATGGAGCATCGTTATGTGCAGGCTGCCAGGGAGCATGGGGTGAGGCTGCGGTGCGAGTTCACATGTCCTAGAAAGCTTTCCCTCATTACCTGTCAGCAGCCTTAGCAAAGAAGTGGGCCAGTGCAGCGTGCTCACTGCGCCCTATTCCCCTGCCAGGTTCTGCTGTGACTCTGCTGTCTGCTGGGAGGTGGCAGTGACAAATGACAGATGGAGACTGTGTGGGGCTTCAGCTCTAAGCTGATGAATCCTATTTCTTCTTCTCCTAATGGGGGTAATTTGTGATGGCTTCTGACAGCCCGCCAGTGCCTCTCTGGGGCTGTCGCTGTGCCACCTTCCGTCTGTCTCCTGTGCTCTGCCGCTTCCGGCCTTGCATTTTCGTTAGGCTGGGTGAGCTCTCTGAGTATCAGCCCCAAGTAAGCAACCACCATGGGGAGGTCCCCAGGCTGGCTCCATGCCTAAGGGAGCTTTCCAAGCCTGGCAAGGAAGAGATGAAGCCTCTCAGTCAATGACGAGAAGAAATTCACTTCTTGTTGAACCATCATCTCATGGAATGAATGCTCTGGAGGCTGCTGGCAGTGGTTTGAAAGGACATTGCAGGTGCATATTGGAACTCGGTATCCAGGATGTGTAATGCAGTGCACTCAACCCCAAGGCTGATTTATTTTCAGCTTGAAAACTTAATTTCCTCCTGGTATTATTGCCTCTTGTAAGTACAGGGTAATATGGGATCATTTAACAAGTATGGAGTGTGCTGTCCAGCTTGCTTCAGTTTCTCTGCCTGGCAGTTTCTTTTTGCACAAGAGCAGAGAATTATTATGATCTGGTGTCTTCAGGCCATGTTTTATGTGTCTCAGAGTATTTTTGTCTGCTGTGTACATGAATACATCGTTGGGTACCAGTAAAGATGGATAAAACATTGTGCCTTGTTCTTACGTATCATGGTGATGGCCAGCATCATCTTGGAATTAGTCAGCATTTGTCTGGCTTCATCCCTTGCTCTGCCTAGATGATCATGTATATTGTATGTTATTAGCAAAGCTGCTGTTTGCTTGGAGAGACTTGGATCAAGTTCTTCCTTCACTTTCTTCCTTATGGGCAGATACAATCATAGGGTTTGCTTAGGTAATGAGCCCTTTTTCACCTCACTGCTGGAAAGGTGTTCACTTAAATTCAACTGGAGAGTTGATAATGCTCTAAGCAGCAAGTGTGTCATGGGCTTCTTTACATGCTCAATAGTCACAGCTTCTGCAAAGCTCCCTGTGTGCTGGAAATCCTGTTTTGAGAGAAGCCTGGCTCCATCAGCCTCCCCTGATGGTGGCTCTCAAGGTGAATACACACACACTAAGGAATGCTGCAGCTGAAGTGTTCTTACAACCAGGATTCTTCCGTTGCTTAGAAGCTTAACTCTGCCTCTGAGTTATCAGTCAGCTGCATTTCAGTCCAGAAGAACTCTTGCAGGAGCAAGGCATGGGGTGCTTTCTGCATTGGAAAGCCCTTGAAAGATGAAAACTCCTTTAGCATTTAAACTTGCCAAACATCTTTTCTGAAGGGTTGTGATGCAGCTCGGGGGAGGAGCACGTTCAGCTGATGCTGGCTCGTTGCACAAGATGGGTTGCTCAGTTTTCATTGCTGCAACTGTGAAATGCAACTGCTTGAATCCTGTTAGCGTGCAGCTGCAGATAAGCTGCCACTAACCTGTGCTCCCTCCCTGTGCGTAGGGGTTGCTGGGCATGAAGGCAGCTCTGCTCAAACAGACCCATGTAATACATCCCGGAGCCTGGGGGTCTTTTCCTGGAGCACTGGGATTGGGCTTTGACTGGATTAACAGATCAGTGCCCTGCAATCACACAGCAGGCCACGTGTGACACCATTAGCCAGCTAGAAAGCGACCGGGCTTTAAAGGTGGTCACTACAGCACTGGAGCCATCTGCTTTGGCCAAGGTTCAGCTCGGGCAGCCTATTGATCCAGCATAATCTCTCGTGAGGCTGCCCCAGGCTGCTGTGGCAGACGTGGTGGAACAGCAGCGATGTTATCACTAAATGACTTCAGAAGACCCTCTGCTGATGTTCAGGGCTGTGTTTTGCGATTGTGTTTGCAATTGCCCAGCTTCACCTGCAACTCGCCTTAGAATATCTGGATTTGTGTATAGGCTAAATGAAAGGATGCTGTGCTGGAGGGATTTTGACTTGTGCTGCATCACAGGTATGCAGGAGTAGTGTTGCTGTAAGGCGTAACAGGCATAAAAAGTCACTGTGTCTGTGGAGCAAAGCCAAAATCCTGCTGCAAGGGGAGAACCACTTGACTCAGCTTTCAGAGGTTCATGTTCAGACAGTATCAGTGCAAAGTCCTGATGCAATGGGCAAGTGGTAACCAGAATCTCTATCAGCGCTTTCAAAGCTGAAGGCACTGCAGGGACCTCCTGTGCGCTGGGGAGGGAGATGGAGGTGTTTCTCAGCTTCCTGCACTGGGGAGCGGCTGGACTGTCTTACTTTTGTAGGCTTTTGGTAGGGAACTCGAATCTGATGTTGAGATTTTTTCCCCTGCCCGTCAATTTGCCTGGCACACCAAGCCTGGAGCACACAGCTCTTCAGCTGAGGGGCTGCTTGGAGTCGCATGGGACTTGCAGTTTTTCTTCTGCAGCATAGGCTCAGTGTGGGAAAGGAACAGCACGCAGGGAACTTGTCACTTACTTTCTGTTCAGCTTCTCCGGGCTTAAAATAACTCTGTCTTTAATGAGCAGCTTGTAAACACGGAGCTTTTCCTCCCCTTTTGCAGCTATTCCTGACATCACTGGCCACAAGCGGAGCGAAAACAAGAACGAGGGGCAGGAGGCACTGATGTACTGCAAGTCCGTGGGCTTCCCGCACCCCGAGTGGGTCTGGCGCAAGAAGGTCAATGGCGTGTTTGAGGTAAGAGAACTGAGGTGTCAGACAAAGCCTGCCAGAGCCCCTTGGGCTAGGGCTGTGTTACTTCAGGTGCCTGCTCCAAACACAGTTCCTCAAAAGTCTGCTGCGTTGGTGAGTGAAGGTGGAATCTCCCAGCAGCAGCACGTGCAGAAGGGGTATTTATACTGGTGGGGTGTGAATGGAGTTGCACGTTGCATTGCTGCTGGGTAAAGCCATGCACTGTGCAGAAAGAGACGATATTCAGGGTGTCTGCTACAAATGGCAAGATTTGAGTTAGGAAATGGGACTTAAATGCATTTGGATAGAAATTTCTCAAACTGTTTTACTGGAAAAGATTGGATTTGATTTAATTTAATTAAGATTTAATCCGAGGACGTGGCAGTGATACCTGTTAGTGTTAAAGTCATTGTATTTTTCCATGTAGCAACTGATCTAGTGAGCAAGAGAGTTGGACGAGCAGTTGGAATAGCAGAAGAGAAGCTGGAAGTTGCTAAATCCTTCAGCCCACCTATTTTTATGTCACTGTATGATCTGCCAGAGAGGTAGCAATTTGATTGATAGATGAAGAAAGATGTGAAGTAAGTAAGAGTAGGGGTTGATCGTTCAATGTTAAGAGTGAGTTTACATTTGGATGGGGCAACGCTATATGGGTGATGTGGTGAGCACTGCCAGTCCTCTGTGGTGGGGTGCAGGTTCTCCTTCCTGCTCTGGCTGGTGAAGCTATTTGATGAAGTGATCCAAGGTGAAGCTTTGGGAAGATCACACATCCATACTTGGTCCAAGTTTTGTCCCTCTTTTTAATTCTTTACGTGTAAGCAACTCTGGAATTCTCTTTTCAAATGTAGAAGGAATATGGGGCCTTGAATTCCAGCTTCCCTAAACATTCCTGAGGTCCCTGGCCACAGATCTGTGAGAATGCCTGTTTCTTTTAAAAACAGCAAATGCAAAATGCTACTAGGGCCATCGTACCTGAACTGGTTAGCAAACCCTGCCTGATGTGATGTAGAATAATCTGACCTGGTGCTGGTGGCTTTCCTCTTTGTCCTGGGTGCATTTCTTTGTTGTTGCTTTGCAGCACAGCTCACTTTAGTGAGAGACCCAGGACAAACACTAGTGGTGGGCTTTCCTCTTGCATTACGGACCAGCCTCTTTGCAAGAACACCTCAAACCTCTTCTAGTTTCCATGACAGGAACGAAAAGGCACCAGAACTTGCTAAAGCTCTTGCTCTTTTCCACCTTTCCCCTTCCATCAGGACATCAACAACTCCTCGGGCAGATTCTTTATTTTAAACAAAGACAACTACACTGAGCTCAGCATCACAAACCTACAGATAAACGAGGATCCCGGCGAGTACCAGTGCAACGCAACCAACCAGGTCGGCTCTGTCTCGGTCACAACCATCCTGCGTGTCCGCAGCCACTTGGCTCCTCTCTGGCCCTTTCTGGGCATCCTGGCAGAGATTGTTATCCTCGTTGTCATCATAGTTATCTATGAGAAAAGGAAGCGGCCGGATGAAGTCCCAGACGGTAAGTGTGCTCAAAGCCGCTTGTGAGGAGGAGACCAAAACCCCAACCAAAGGCACAGTGAACTTGTGGAAGCAGGATGGAGTGGGGCTTTGTGGCAGGAAGGATCAGCAGCCCAGTTGGGTCAGCTCTGAGCTCTTTGCTTTCTCACCTCTTCCCTCTCCAGACATTAGATTAAGCCCAGCACGTGCAGGGGATGCAAGTGAAGTCTGTGAAGTCCTAACACTGAATATCCTGCACATCACAGACTGGGGGTGGGGTGGGGTGGGCATTTCCATGTCTTTAAAGCTTTTGTTGCATGAGGGGTCTTCTGCTTCTACCTTTTCCCTGCTGTAGCAGCCCTGAGAAGCCCTAAATAAACACCAGTCCTAAGGAGTGTAGGGCAGCACAGGGAGAGAGCCAGGAACACGTTAATCCTTGATGGCCCTCCCTTCTTCCATGTGGCATCTGCATTGGACACTGGACAGGTTCTGTAAGGAAACAGATTTAAAGGGATTGGGACTGCAGAGCTGCTTTAGAAATAAACCATGTTTTTAATGTTAGAAGAGTGGGGGCTCTTATTTTGGTGTGTAACTGAATTTGTATTTCAGTAATGCTCTGGAAACTATATCTAATTGTAACGGCTACTGAGTTACATTTCTAAAGCTTAGGTTTTTATTATATCAGCTTTAACAGTAGCACTGATGAGTTAAACTGTGTTTAGTACAGAAATACAAGTAGAAACTGTTTCATTTTCGAGCTGTTTCTGCATAACATCCCCTTTAAAAGAAGGGAGAAGGGGCAGTTTGAGGCTCAAATGAGTACTTGGAAGAAGCACATTGAGAAACAGGCGTTCATGTGACACCAAGCTGCTCATTTTTGTGAAGAAAACTTATTTTTATCAAGAAACCCTCCCCAGTGATCCCTGTGGGAAGCTCTGGTACACCATCGCACTGTTGGAGCCAGTAACGGAGCAGGCGCTTCAGAGTACACAGAGGGCATCGTGCTGGATCCACATGGGAAGCACTGAGTCATTAGTGGCTTACTGGCTTGGAGGAGCCCTCCAGGATGGTAGAGGACTCCCAGAAGCAGCTGTGTTGTAGCTTGTGCAGCAGTGACTAGTTGTTGTGGAGCTGCACAAGGTGTGTGTGAGAACACAGCATGACATTTGCCTTGCGGGAGGTGCTGAACCCAGCATCTGCCTCTGAAGTTTGAACAAAACCAACTTCAGGGTTCCTGAGCTACGTTTCAGAGAATGAAAAAAACCCCAAAATCTCCTCAAACCGATGGTAAATGTTAATATTTCAAGAATGGCTGAGGCTTGGATGACTTCTGTAGCAGATCAAAACACTGTCTTTCAGTAGTGCATACCTAGAGGAAACTGGCTTTTGATAGTAACCACTTGAGAAGCATTTACTAACTGCTTACGGAGCATGCATTGACTCTGGGCTAGGTGTGTATCCAACAAAAGCTGCATAGTGCATGTTCCTCTGCATAACTAACAGCTTCACAGGCGCTGAGGGGTTTACTGCAGCACTTGGGCCTCAGAGTGGCTCTCAACCAGCCCAGAGAACTTCCAGGACAGTTTGAATCTTCTCTTGCACATCTCCCATGTTGCTGTGCTACGTTGGCCTGACTTGGATGGCCAAAGAGGATCTCACCTCTCTGTTGGTGGTTGTTCTTAGCTCCCTGCATTCCCAAATTTCATCTGCTGCGGTGTCCCCAGCGCCAAACCAAAGATACCAGGTTGGAATGTGAGCATTGCAGGCAGACTCAAATGGCCTTACGCCAACAGAAATTGTCTTTGCCTTGATCGGATTGCAGTGCAACCGCCATGGTGGCATGGTTAAGCACATGTTGGAGGTGAAGAGGTCCGTACCTGTTTGTTTCAAAGGCTGAAGTTTTCCTGGCTGGTTTGGCTGCTCTTCGGGTGCCTGAGGGGTCCGGGTTCACCATCTCTGACAGAGGAGTCCAAGATGATGAGCCAAGTAACTGAGGTTCCTGTATTTGCTTGCTTGGTCTGCTGGTAGTTTACAGGCAGCTAAGCTTGAGTCTTGGAGAGTGATGCACCTCTGTGATGGGCATGTGTTTTCTGTGCTCACTTTCTTGGAGGACAAAATCCAGTCCTAAATATCCCAGTCAATACCTGTGTATTAAGTTTGCCTGGATGAAGAGACACAATTGGCATAACATCTTCTCAGCTGGAGGCTGACTTGAGTCCTACCTTCCCTTGGATACTCCAGCATTTTCCTTAAGGCATTTGAAGCTTTCTGTGATACTGTGGTGGGCAACACCCTACAAGCAGGGGCATTTGACAAATGCATCTGTGAGAAGCTCTGGATTATCTGCTGATCTCCACCCTTGGATGTTTTACGTGGGCTGTTCTTCATTTTCTTATTCTCAGTACCTCGTTATGAAATGCCAAAGTTAACATTTGAATGCAGTGGTGTGCGTATCATGTGGAATTGAAACTCCCTGCTTCCAAAATCATCCAGCCACCTCCGCATGCTGCAGTGAGCAGTAGCAGGAAACATCAGTGAGCCTGTAGCTGAGGCAGCAACTCGAGCAGGTATTAGGCTCTATATTGTATTAGTTGATGCAGCAATTATCAGGCAACAGACGTGTTCTCTCAGCTATGAGCTGGTTTTCCGAATTCTCTCTTTTAGCATTGGGTTTGATGTGTTTAAGCTTTAAGGATGAGGACTGTGGTTGTGCCACAGTCTCCATACGAAGCTGCTGCTGCAGCAGTGATGATCGAGCTGTTAGTGCCTCCTTGCTGCACAGGGAAAACTGGGCAGCCTCAGCAGCAGTTCCTCACTGAAGGCCCCTCTTCCTGGGATGTGTATTTCATCCTTGGACCACCCCAGATGTTTTCCTTAGACACTGAGATTCCTTCACATTCACCACCACCCCTTTCCCTCTCCTCCTGTGGTGGAATAACTCCTGACATCCTTTAGCCCCCCGGTTTCTCCACTATTCTTCCTTTGCTCTGGAATAGAGGTAGAAGGAGTCAGAAAACCCCTGGCTGTGTTTGCAGATGGATCCTTTGGACTGCTGCCTGGTTGATCATTGTCACTCGGCTTGGCACATCCTCCTGCTGCAGGCTCTGCATTCCTGCCATTCAGTGTCTGCTACCAGTAACCAGCCTCAGTGCTGGGGTGGAAGCTTTGTGCCTGTAGTCTTGCACCTCTGCAGTGCTCTGGGGTGCCATAGATGCTACCTTAGGGAAAGTTGCCTCCCATGTTCACGTTCCCCTTGAGGATCCTCTGGCTGATGGCTGTCGTGTTGAGGCTCTGTGGAGGGATGGGTTTCTGCACAGACTTAGTGCAAAGGTGACTGATTCAGGGCACTTTAAGGACTTCTTAAAAAGCTTTGGGAAGAAACCCAGTGATGCTAAATGTACCTTCCCTGTATACAGAAAGCTCAGAGCTTTCCTGTAGCTGAGAGTGTGAATTCATCAGTGTAGAACCGTACCTGCAGCCCGTGCAGAGCCTGGCTGCTGATGGTGTGGGATGAAATGCTGTTGAGCTGCATTTATCTCACTGGGAGATGCTGGTGCCCACGCTGAGCGCTCACCTCATGCAGAACCCAGGTGATGTCGTTTCTAGGTCAGGCTTAGCTAAGCCTACACAAGTTACAGGCAGTCCTTTGGGGTGTGCTGGGCTCAGCTCCTTGGACAAAACCAGGCCAAGCCAAATGCTGGAGCAGGATTGCTCCAGACATTGGTAATAACAACAGCCAGAGTCCTTTGGGGTCCTTTCTACCTTTCTCAGCTGTGCCACAGCAGAAATTGCTCATCTTGCCTCTCAAGCTGGGCTTGAGAGCTCTACCTTCTTGGTGAGCCTAAACAAAGTGCCAAAAAGGGCTTTGGATAACTGACGCCAAACAGAAGCACCCAGGTACTGGTAGGGGATGCAACAGCTTGGAGAGAAACATTACCTCTCTCCTGGAAGGCGCCTGGGATGCTTTCCAGAGCCCTTGGGAACTCCACCTCGCCAGCCAAAACCAAGGCAATTGAATAGATTCCCTTTCCCCCTCTGTCACCTCCATGTTCTACAGGCTAAAACTTACCTGTCCTAGTGTGCCCGCTACCCCAGCTCTGGTGGAGGGGGGGAGTGATGGGTAACCTGGTTCTGTTGGAGCAGCTCTTCTCAGCTTTCTGTGTCCCCACAGAGGGAGGCTGCTCAGGTGGCAGGGGCTGGGGGGATAAATGGCTGCCTTGTGTTCCAAGACCCTTTCCCAAGGGATCTGCTGCCCTTGCAGAAGGTGTTGCCTTCATCTACCTTCCAGCAATGCCATGCTGGAAGAGCAAGGCTGCTCCTTTAACTTTGGCATTTCCTGACTGTAGGGTGGGGGCTTTTTTGTTGCATGGACCTTGCTTTCTGTGTGGAGTGGATTTGCTTTTTGTGCCATGGAACAGGGCTGCTCAGTAGCTCCTTTGCTAATGTTTCCTCCTTCACATAATTTAGATTTGTGACTTTGAACCCATGAAATCTGTGTTTCTGACTAGAAATTGCGGCACTGGGGATGCCTGGTGCAGGTTGTTGCTGTTGTACCTGTGGATGAGGGGCATTCTCATCCTCCTGGGAGGAGAGGTGACTGCAGCGAGCCCCCTTGCATCCAAATTATGTGCTCGAAGGAGGAAGGGAGGGCAGATGGCGCTTGAATTTGTGCATCCTCTGCTTTACACATGGTAAAGCAATAGACAGATCCCATCCCTGTTTTCCAGAGGGATTCCAGAGGTTTTGTGTAAAACCGGGGTGGGTGGATAACGTGCAGCTTCCCATGGCTTTGGGTGATGAAAGCTGCATGACCGTGGCATGTGGAGGCCAGAGGCACCAGCACGTCGCTGCATGCCCGACGGGAAGTGGTTTCAGCAGGAGACTGCTGATGCATTTTGCTCAATGCGAGTTGCTTGGGCTTCCCTTGACAACAAAAGGAAGCAAATAGCTTTTGATTCCTCTGTGGTATAGCTTAAGCTGCTTATTTCTGATAGACGTAGCGATCAACCATCGTGACCCAGATGTAGTACATGAAATATTCCTAAAGAAAGTGGGTTTCTTTCTGTTGTTGGATCAAACAGCCCAATATTAGCAAAGATGCTGTTGTAAAGGGTGCGCTCCGGGGTAAGTAGAAAGTAAAAACTCCTTCCCGCATTCCCTGCAGGAATGTGAACAGTTTTTACTTGAAAATCCATATTCTCTCTGACCTTTAGTTCAAAGCCATGAGGTGACTGGGGTTATAACGTGTCCTTTTTCATTCTTCCCTTCTCATTTCTCAGCTTAATACAAAGACTTGCCATTAGTATGTTTCTGCTCTGGCTCTGCAGAAGCTCCATCCATATCCCCACATTCTAATGTTGATTTTTTTTCCCTCTTGACTTTCCCTGCTCCTGCTATTACTGTAAGTAATTCCAAGAACAAAATGTTTTCACTGAAACAGTTTTGCCTTGTAACAGGTGAAATTTGGGGGTTATTTTTTCCTTGACCTGCACCTTTCTCTCCCATGCCTAAAGTTCAAGGGGAGAAAATCGTCAGATAGGCACGTTGCTGTCAAGGGCCAGCATCATTGTATCACAGTGCTAATCAAACAGCCTGGCTCCTCTGGGCCTTTGTGCACTAGGTTTGTTAGAGGAGCAGGGTTCCAGTGTAAGTATCTTGGCCAGAGAGCCTCCAATACGCTTCTGCCTTCATTCCCTTTTGGAGCTCAAGAGCCTCTGTTCACTGCCTCTTCCCCCTCCCTCCAAAACATTCCTGTTAACGAAGGCAAAGGGAAGACCATTGCTCCGAAGCCAACATGGATTGTGGTGGTAGATGCTGCCTTTGAGCACAGCCAACCTTAAATGGGTTAATGTTGGCTTTTCCTTTTGCTTATGTGACCCCAAATTGTCATTTTAATACCGCTCCAGTTGGCTGTTGACCTGTAAGGGCAGGTCTGAGGGTGCCGTGTGCCAGTGGGAGAGCCGCTGCTGGAGCTGCTGCTCTCAACTCCTCTCTGGAAGTTTCTTTACAAGTTTCAAATCGCCAATCACAGAGCCCCTTTGGATGCAAAAATGTGGGGTTTAGTGCTGGAAGGACCCAATAATGTTTCATTTTGGACTTGCACCAGGCTACATGAGGTGAATTTGGTGATAAAACTAAACCCTGGAGCTTTCCAAAGGGGGTAAAAGAAACTGCGCAGCAGGTAAAATGCCTCCTAAATTAAGGCTGAAGGAAAGGGGGTGGCAACACAAACCACCCCCTTCTCCGACTGCCCAAGCACGAGTTACAGTCCCAGACAGTTCTTACGAGTGGAGGAGCTAAAGCAAACCTTATTTGTCATCACCTGGCGATTTTAATGCGCAGATGGTTTCTGCCTGGAAGGGTTGATTGCATGTGGTAGATGATGTGTTAAATCCACAGCAAATTCTAACCCTACTCCTCCAAAATGGGCCGTTTCAGGCAGCGCTGTACCCACGAGGAAGGCTTGGGTGGTTGGGGTGTGTAACTCTTGCATCGTATCAGCAGTGGGGTTTTTGGAGTCTGCAGATCCCTTCCCAATCCCAAAGGCAATGCCAGCAAAAGGAGGGGTTATGCCTGGTCACCTGGCAGCGTTGTGGGAGCCCCAGGTCCTGGAATGCAGCAGCGTACTGGGAGGAAGTGCTCTATGGCCATAGGGTGTCCGTCGTGCGAGCAGCTCGCCTGCCTTAGAGGGGTTGAGTGACGTTGATGCTTGTCGGTTACTATGACTTCTTTTTGTTTTTGTTTTTGTTTTTGTTTCCCCCCCTTCAATTGCATCATACCCTTAAAAACGTGGTGGTAAGTGAGAGCTCTGCATGCTTTGGAGTTTGTTTAATCTCCGCTTCAGTCTATACAACGCACAAGCCATAACGTTAACACGTGGTTTTGTTATTTTTTTTTTCCTCAAAACTTCTTCATTCACGTTCACAACTAATTTGGGTTTTTCAGTTTGCTGTTCTCTTAAACCTTTCTTTAGTCTGATTTTGTATTGGTTTTTCTGTTGGTCTGTTGCCCCCTGGTTTCGCTACGGTTTCGGTCTCTGTCTGTACTGTACTGGGGATGCTTTGCCAGCAGTTCAGTGCCTGACCTGGAGAGGAGCGCACGGAGAAACTTCCCTCAGGCTTCTTTTATCTCCGTGTAGGTTATAGATTGAGAGGGATGAGCTGTGGTGATCCACCCTGTAGTCTTAAGTATTCCAATAAGCATTTTTGTTGGCTCTTTGTTAGGAAAACACCCAATGGCAGCCTTTATAAACGTGACGGAGTTGTTTTTTAAGCACGCAAAACGACTTAGCTGCAACAGGCATGCAAGTATTTTAACAGAGAAGGAGAACTGGTTATTTGCTAGTGAGAGGGAGCTTGTGTCTTCCTGGTGCAGTTTGGTATTCCTGAAGTGTGGCCAAACAAACTCTCAAAGATGTCTGATGCTTGTCAGAGCCGAGGTCCCGAGTGCTAGTGCAGAGCGGCATCGGCAGCATCCGGACCAGGGGAGGGAGGGAGGGTGGGTGCTGTCGGGCTGAGGTGCTTCCCAGCCGGAGTGCAACCGGCTTGAAGATCTTTTGTGAAGCAAAAGATGTTCGTAGAAGGAAGTTCTAGATTTACTCTACTGTGCTTTGTGTTTCAGTACCTGATGTGTCTCTGTATATCTCCACTGTATATACAACAGCACATTGATGTCTGGTTGTCCTTACTAGTCCTAGTTCTCTCTGTATCTTGTCCAGTAGTGTACTGTTGCTGGTACTGGACTTCTGTGGACACTGGTGTGTCGCTAGTGTGTTATTTTGGCTGTAAAGCTCTTGGTTTGTGGTTAGTTCTTTCTTTTCTTTGAAGTATTTTTTTTTCTGTTCCGGTCACTGTCTGTGCTAGCAGTGGCTTTGCCTCTCCGTTGCCTTGAAGGTACAGGTGGAGTAATGTCTCCTTTGACCGACATTACTCCTAGCGTGTGCTCATGCGGATGCCCACACTGTTGAAACTGTAATTTCCATACCTGCTTCATGTGCACTAAGCACCCTTGTGGAATCCTGCTGAGAGTTTCTTAAAGGCTTCAGTGACACATCCCTCCAGCCCGAGGTGGGAACGGCAACTGCTGAGTGCCAGAACCAGCAGGTCCTGAATTGGTCCTCCCAAAATACCTCTACAGGAGCGTTAACCTTTTGGATTGATTTTTGTACTGCTGTTTAAATGCACTTCTGCCTTCCATCCTGCAGCTTGGGAGCAAAACAAGGGGGTTTCTAATACAAACAAAAATACAAAGTTCAATTGGTCACGAATGTCAAACATTGCTCATTGGCAGAGTTCTTCCCAATTCTTTAAAGAGAACAGTTTTGCCGCGAGACACGAGCAAAACAAGGCTGTGTCTTGCGTAGCTGGTGTGTCTGGAGGTGTTACAACACCCCTGACCCTGCCTCTTCCCAGCGTGTTGAGCCCTGTCGGACGCACGCATGATACCTGCTGCTGACCATGGACTGCGTTTGGATACTTGAACCAAGTATTGCACCTTCAACCTCCTCCTAACCAAGTCCGGTCTAATCAGACCTTGAGGAAAGGGGAATATGTAGAGGTTGGATCAGCCAGGGGAAGACGAGCACGTGGTGTCTATGCCCTGTGAGGTATATACCAGTAATTACCCCTCAGCAGTTGAATGGCTTATAAAAAATACTATTTATATTAAAGCAATATCAATGCAAGCAAACAACCAGCAGGATTTTACAACTGAATTGTTGGTTTGTCTTCTCATCTATTTTTTTATGAGATTGAACCACTGGAACGTGGGGACAAGATGAGTCTTGACCATATTGCAACAATCTGTCCGCTACAGTTGCAGTTCTTCATGACCAGCATCCCAAGTGTTAACTAAACCCATTGAGGCAACATACCTGCCATTAAACCCTGAATCCAGACAAGCAGCTCCATGAATCTTTGCACTCCCAAGTGGAATGGCCTTTAATGCTGTAGATAGATCGGTTTGCTGTTCGCGGCTTGGCCAGTGCAAAGTGCAAAGACTGACTCTCTTTTTGTTTTCTCCCTTTCCTTTCCTTGTCTTTCCCTGGATCACACCGGAATTCTTGTTGCAGATGATGAACCAGCTGGGCCAATGTAAGTGTGTTTTCAGAAAAAAAAGTACTGCTTGGCTTAATCTGAGTTTAGGGGAGTTCACATGATATGGGGTTGACATTAGGTGTGATGTTATTACAGGTCATAGAATCCCAGCCTGGTTCGGGTTGGAAGGGACCTTAAAGCTCACCCAGTTCCACTAGAGCAGCTTGCTCCAAGCCCCTGTGTCCAACCTGGCCTTGAACACTGCCAGGGATGGGGCAGCCACAGCTTCTCTGGGCACCCTGTGCCAGCGCCTCAGCACCCTCACAGGGAAGAGCTTCTGCCTAAGAGCTCAGCTCAGTCTCCCCTCGGGCAGGTTCAAGCCATTCCCCTTGGCCTCTCCCTACAGGCCCTTGTCCCAAGCCCCTCTCCAGGTTTCCTGCAGCCCCTTTAGGCACTGGAGCTGCTCTAAGGTCTCTCCTTCAGGAGCCTTCTCTTCTCCAGGCTGAACCAGCCCAGCTCTCTCAGCCTGTTGGAGACCCCTTAGGTTGTAGTGTTGCAGTAAAGGGAGAACTATTGGCAGTGCCCTTGTGAAGTGAATTGCATTGGGTGAGATGGTGGCAAGACACAAAGCCTAAACATACTGTCTTTAGCCACTTAGGAGGAAAGGTGACATGTTGTTTGACTGAAGTACAAAGACATTATTTCTTATGCTTCTGCTTGATTTTGGTGTTTTTATGTTGTTATTTCTGCAGGAAAACCAATTCTACAAACAATCATAAAGATAAAAACTTACGCCAGAGAAACACAAATTAAAAATGCTTATCATGTAAGTATGACCCGCGGGCACCTCTGCAATGGGCAGGCTAAACCCTCCTCTTCCTGTAGTGCTTGGGGTGCGTAACAGGACCTCCTCCCTGCATTAAAACACTGCGGGCTGCTCGGGCAACGGTGCTGGCCTTTTGCGCCCCGCTGTCCAAAGGTACCCCAAACCACACAGGTAGCTTCAGACCCCACAAGCTGTCAGGCTCTACATCATCCCTACTATTGCTCATGAAACAAACCCCAGCCCCTGCGTCACTCAGTGTTAAAACCCAGAAGCGATCCAGTCGGGAAGCCTCTATTTGCCCTTCATTGAGCGCTCTGTTTGCACGCTGTTTGAACCGTTCCCACTGCTGCCGGGCATTGACTAGCACCTTTTCTCATTTCTTTTTTAGAGCTTTAAGTTTCTGAGAGACTGATGGCAATATGACCTGCTAAATTTAAGGGTTGGAACTCTTGGTTCTAGAACTCCAGTTCTGTCTGATTTTGTTTTCATTTATTTTCCTCCTTTTCAAGTGAGCAACGATATGACTGTCTAAAGCATGCCTTATTTAGCCTCTCTGCAAGGATCACCTAGCCAGATACATTTTAATAACGCTTCAGTGTAGAAGGTGTAAACTATTTTGGGCTTTGATGTGCTGTGAATGTTGCTTTTCTTCTTTTTCTTTTTCCCCTCTTTTTTCTTTCTTTCCCCTCCTGGATCTATTTAACCGGTAGAGGTAGTTGGGCGAGTCCCGCATGCGCTATTTTTTACTTCCTGTAGCTGTTCAACCGGGCTCTGAACCGCACCGCTGCCATCTAGTGAGACTTTTTGTAAAGTACAGCAAAACGGAAAAGATATATACAGTATATATTTATATTTTGGGGGAGGAGGGGGTAAAACCAAAATCCAGTAATCGTGTTTCATTTTTAAGCTGCTGATATTTCATTCCTTACTGTATGTCTGAAAGATGAGAGAATTCGAGTGTGCTGGTACTTGGAGAAGTAATATATCTTAAGGGCTTAACCTCTAGAGAGAGACTCGGGTGTCCTATGATCAGACTTCCAAAGGCAGAAGGGTTGGACGTGGTGGTGGAATGCAGTGGAAAACAAAAACCTTCAGTTTATAAATATATATATATGATTGCTTTTTAAGTGATGATTTTTTTTTTTGTTAACTCATGTAAATTCTCAACTCCTTTTGCACTGATGTGTTCAACATATTCTTGTACATTCAATTCAGGCAAACTTTTGTAATTTTCTTTTTTTCTTTTTTTTTGCGTTTTGTTTAAATGATGAAATGTTACAGCATGGTGATATTCTATGCAACTAGTTATACTCTTTAGTTTGACACTGTAAGTTCTCATGATTTAAAGATTGTAGGAATAGACCTAACAGGGTTCTCATGATGTGCGTAACTGTAGATGCATGAACTTGTGTTCTGTGTATTTGTTGAAGTGCAATGATGTATAAAAAGTGGATTCACCTGTTTTTAAAAATAAAACACTGACCAAAAAAAAACAACACCCCCAAAAACTGTGTGTGAGACTTACTGAAATGTTTAATCCCACGTAATCTGTGTATCCCTGTGCCGGGCATCCCGGAGCCTCCATCCCAGCAGCCACAAGCTGGTGCTTCTCAATCTTCTGTGAGCTTTTGCAGTTCCTTCTCCACGGCTTGCACAAAAGCTGGGAAATGCTGATCCAGGAGGCAGAAGCGGATGAAGGGCCCCAGCTCCTGGGTGCCCCACACCGGCTGCCAGGGCGCAGGGGGCAGCTCAAGGTTCTTGTTCAGCACAGACTGGGGAAGTAAAAACCAAAGGGTTGTGCTAATGCAGGACAGAAAAGGTGCAGTAACGTTTACGTAGTTAAAGGTAAGTGAAAGGTAGGCAGTTAAGTTAAATGTAGGTAAAGGTAAATGCAGCTACACCAAGGGGTTTTTTTTGTATTTAATAAAGATGCATCTGCCATGTTATTTATGCTGTTTGGATCCGTTCAATCAGGTCAGATTTCTACAAGTAATTTTATCTCTATAGGGTTTTTTTCTGTGTCTTATTTTCTTCCCTAGTTCCCTGGGCTTCCTCTCAAAGATCCACTCCGTGTAAGAGTATAGGATCTGGTACAAAGCACATGTGCTGCCACTTGAATTGTGTGAGGGTAACCAAGTGTGCAGTGCAAAGCTTTGTTTAGTGAGAATCCCAGACTGGGTTGGGTTGGGAGGGACCTTAAACCTGATCTAGTTACCAACCCCCTGCCACGGGCAGGGGCACCTTCCACTAGGAGCAGGTTGCTCCCAGCCCTGTCCAACCTGCCTTTGGTGGCTTTTAGAAGTAAATTAGGGGGCTTTTAAGAATTAAAACATCCTTTCCATGCAAATTTAACCACCTCCTCCTGTTTTTCCCTTGGTGGTGGGCAAAGTACATCCCCACTCAGCCTCTGGCTTTCTCTACCCATCCGCACTGAAGCCATTAAGTTACAAATGCTTTTTGGACACTTGGGAGAGCAGAAACAAAGACAATGGTGGATGTGTTGCTTTCCCCATGAGGTAAGTGTGATGTGCAGAGGGAGTTAGTGATCAAGGTGAATAGTTCTGATATCAGGGGAAATGCCCAATGCTGCTTAATCTGTGCCGGGCTTTAAATAACATCACATGCTGAGTTTGGCCTCTTTTTTTGATGTGCTGAGTCAAGCTTCTTCTGCCTGAACCCAAAACAGCACAAGACAACTGGCAGATGGACCAGGCCCACTGGTGCCTGGAGCACAATGGGGACGAAAACAAAACTGTAGCAAAAATATGATCTTAAACTGTTGGTTCACATCCCAGGATTGTTCTTCTGGTGGAGAAAAAGATCTCTCAAGATTGTTGAGATATGTTTCTAAATAAAAGAGAATGTTTAAAGCCAGTGCTCCTGCCAGCTTCCTGAAATGGTGGGAATGGAGATCCTGAACTCCAGCACATCCCAGAGCACCAGCTGAAAGCCATTTGTTGTGAAGAAGTTCAGCCCTTCGCAAAGCTTGTGTGGGTCAGGGCCCCCACAAAAAAAAAGCTGACTTCAGTAGAGGGACAACTAGAGGAGGATGTAGTAAAGCTACTACACCAGAGTCATCTTGTACTGGGGAATAAAGTGAGAGAGAGATGAATATATGTAGTAAATACAGGCCTCGGGCAGAAGGCCTTGTTTGAAGTGGGTATCGGCTCTTGTCTTACACAAGGACCACAGAAAAGCAGTTTCTATGAGCTTGAGTTGTTTGTAATGGTGGTGGTTCACAAGCTCTAGAATTGCCTCATAAAGCAGAGACTGGTCATGAAAAAGACAGCTGCTAAAGCCCAACTGCCTTGTTTGATCCCTCTGGCTCAGTGCTGCACTCTTGCTGCATTGTGTAAGGACAGTACCAAAGCTGTTGGGAATCGAACAGCAGGGCATGTAATACAGCTCTCACTGCTGAGAGGAGGGCACAGCAAGCTGCCTTCTCAAAATAGAGGTGTTTATAAAAGGCTTTTTTGGGTTTAAAAGATGACAGATTTGTAATAAGAGCACAGGAATTGTCCCTTAATACTACTAATGGGAAGATATGTTGAGCTGATTGTGCTCTGAATGTGGAAGAAAGGTAAAAAAGATCCATTGAAGCAGCTGCACAAAACCAGGTGAAAAAGAGTTGAGCTTTCTCAGTCATCTGATTCTGTTCTGTCCCAAATCCACAGAAAAGAAACGAGTTAATTCCACTTATTCCTGAATAGAGTTTAACCATGGATTTGTCCCTGAGGCTATCAATAGCACTGGGGTATCTGGCATCAAAAAAGGCTCTGGGGAGCCTTATTGCAGCTCCAGTGCCTAAAGGGGCTCCAGGAAACCTGGAGAGGGGCTTTGAACAAGGGCCTGTAGGGACAGGCCAAGGGGAATGGCTTGAACCTGCCCGAGGGGAGACTGAGCTGAGCTCTTAGGCAGAAGCTCTTCCCTGTGAGGGTGCTGAGGCGCTGGCACAGGGTGCCCAGAGAAGCTGTGGCTGCCCCATCCCTGGCAGTGTTCAAGGCCAGGTTGGACACAGGGGCTTGGAGCAAGCTGCTCTAGTGGAAGGAGTCCCTGCCCATGGCAGGGGTTGCAGCTGGAAGAGCTTTAAGGTCCCTTCCAACCCAAACCAGGCTTTGATTCTATGGCTGATGTTTTCAGATTCAAGCTAAGACTGCTGATGTAATTTCTGCAGTCAAGAGAGTGACAAAGCCACTTATTTGGATGTGACATCTTGGGTGTTTGCTCTCAGTGTGTGGTTTGTTCTTATGCAAATGGCATAATGACACCATGAAATACTTGGGTTTGCAGCTTATTTCCTAGCTCTAGATCATTACAGGAGGTCCCGTGGGTTTTGTTGGTATAGGTGATGGCATCCTGATGTTCAGTGAAGGCTGATGTTGACAGAATGTGAGATACCTCGAGCTCTTTCAGTGCCCAAGAGATTCAGGTACAGGAGGCAAATGCTAGATGTATAGTTTTTGCTTACCTGGGCAAGCTGTGGTACAGATTTTCTTTCTCCAAGGCCTGCAGAGGAATCTGGTAGAGGCTCATCTGGCTAGAAAATGTCAAATGCAAATAAGGGCTTATTACCAAGCAGAGTGTGGGTATGTGCAAGAAGGGAAGTAGTTCCATTTTTAGAGATAACAGGGAGAGAACATGCTCAGCTACCTTCTGCAGTAAAAGGCAGCTTGTTCTCGAACCTGAATGCACATCTGCTCAAGTCTTTACAAATGAAAGACGTGAAGTAATGGGTATGCTGTTAACCTGTCATGTCTAAGCTAAGATCGATTTGAAACTGCTTTCTGGAAGTCAGTTTCAAGCAGCTGTGCAGGAACACTCACCAGGAGTGTGCTTTTTTCCTTCCCATGGGTCACATCACTGAAAAGATGCTTGAAGCTGTCAGTTTTATTTTCTGAGTGAAGTTTTCAGTCTAACCTCTGGAGCAAGAGTTACTCATCCCAACAGTATGACTGCTGGGCTTCTGCTACAAATGCTTTCTTTACCTTCCATTCTTTGCTTTAGCTTATCAGGAAATGAGCAAAGCCCAAAGTATAGGTAATCTGCTTGAAGAACAAACAGTATATCATCACTATCAGCTGTTGAAGGGCTCCTTTGTGCCTTCCTGGAAATGGTGGGAGCCAAACTGACACTTTGTCTACTAAATATGATTTTACTGCCTGGTAGAGTAGGATCTTCCTAGATTACACCATGAAAATGATGCAGCTGAAAGCTTTGACATTCCTTTTTCCAGGCTCAGTCTCAGTCCTGGTATTTTTATCCTGTATCCAAGAGCTTTCCTGGCTAAGTTAGTGCAGGGATGTTTTTAGAGCTGGTAAATGTGATCCTCTGGATACTCAGGAGAGCATATATTTAAGAGGCAGTCATCCTCAGAAACGCTCTCTGTCTTTTGCCTTTCCCGTTTACCTGAAGACTTTGTCTTGGAAAATGGAAACATTAACTTTGTACCCAAAATTGCTTTAAAATGTGTCAGGTTAAGATCAAATTGCTCCAATTGTATATTTACAGTAACAAACACTGTAAAACAGGAGTAGGCAAACACAAAAAGGAGAACACAGTTCATGGTTACTTAATGGCTCTGATCCTGTACCCTGTATAATGCATCTGAAAGTGCCAGGTTCCCAGTAGCCTTTGCTGCAATCTACACTGATGGAATTGTAGATGTGGGGGTTTTGGTAACTATTCAGCTCTCCTCTGCTGCTCCCTATTTTTTAACCTCAGCAGAAACCACCTTGATCTTTCACCAAACCTGAGTGGGAATTGGTAATTTTCTGTATTGGTATTCCCAAATAACTACTACGTGGCTGGAGCATTTGCAGCCGTTTCTTTTAATGGTTACTAACTTCCTCAGTTTGCCTGAGCCCTGCATAACTCATTCTCTTAGTTTCCCTAACGAAATGTGAGCTCAAACCCCAGAGCAAAGGTTTTACCCCACATATAAATCTCATCCCATCTGCGTGCTGATATTCTTCCTGTGATCACAGGAACTGTGTATATTGATTTTGGTTCTTGGTGACCTCTTGGAGGCCAAAATGAGATAATTAATAATGCTCTGAGAGAACTTACAATAGGCTTGAAGAGCTCGAGCCACTTTTGAGCATTGTTAACTTCTTTGAGGTAGGCTAAGAAATGGGAAGATGGTGGCTGGCTTCAGCAGCTCACCTCCTGAATAACTCTCTCTCTCTAGCTTTCCCTGCAGGATATTTGGGTTTCCCAACTCATTTCATAGAGATGGTCTCATAGTTGCAAAAAAACTTTGCTTAGAAGTCAGATTTGCCACAGATCTAACACTACGGGTTGATTATTTTTCTGTCTGTATGTTCTTGGTTAGTTACTACCTCTAGTAGCGATGCATTTAGTTCAGCGTTCCTCACCTGGCTGTCACTGTGGGCCAGCTGACTGAAGCTGGGATAGAGCTGCTGGCTTTGCTCCTCGGTTCCTTGCACTGACACATACTCTCTGAGTTTCTGAACACAACTCCAGCAGTTTTCCAGCCTCTCTTCCTTTGAATCCCCACCAAATTGAACACGAAACATGCGGCCTTCATTCTGAAACCCAAGAGAAAAGAAAGGAATTGTGAATCCCCTCAAAATGATTTAATTCAATTCCTATTTGGTAAAGTTAGGAAGAAGGTGTGATACATGTTTTGATCTCTGCACCAACTTTAAAGCATGTAAACAAGTTTTCCCTGCTCTATCTCCATTATTCCCAGCAGCTAAACCAGACTATGATTCCTAGTTTGAAAATCAATTAAAACCAACCCGAACTGGTAAGACCGTTTACCAACTAGCCAAGTGAGAAAACCTTGCCATGACATGAGTTTTTACATGTATAGCAGGGAAATGAAGTTCTTCCTGCTGCTGTAAGTAGTGTCCTATAAGGATATGCCAGCTCCTGAAGAGTTATTTGTGACAACAAATGAAATGACATTAAAGTAAGTGGAAGCTAAACTGAAAGTTCTGGGAACAGTGCGTTCCAGTTTGGATTTATGTTACTGTCTGTGCCAAAGCCTTACCAGCCTACCTGGGCTGCCTCTGTGTAGCCAAACAGGTAAATTCAGTTTAGCACTCTACCTGAATGCTGCTGTTCCTTGAAGAAACGCTAACCCAGCAGACTGGGAGCACAAGACACTCCAATGCATTACTTCAAATAGTTAAATAATACTGGAAAATAAGAGGTAGCTCTGACCCCCAACCCCCTGTTATAGCTTGTGATGCTGTACCATAAATTTTAGGTACATGAGGTTCAGGAAATGGCACTGAAAATGGAGGACTGAAGAGTATGTCATGCATGATAAGCCTGTCCTACGCACATTCAGCTGATCAAAGACAGATACGTATTGAATGCTTTGGTTAAGGAGTGAGTTAATGGGACTTTTGGTTTGATTTTGAGGTTTCAATTGTAAACCACAGGAAAAGTGCTAGAAAAGAAGCATGTTTTCCTTGGAATGAGCCAGCTTATTCAAGTCTTCATCCTTCTGTGGTGTAAACATGACAACCTTTTTATAATGCCTACACATGCTGCTGGATGACATGAGTACAAGCATATCTTTCATGTTACAGGCTTCATCTCACAGGTAAGCCAGCTCTTGATGACAGCCTTTATGTTTCCACGCATGTTATTTTAAGATGCTTGTATTGCATAAAGTGATTTTGGGGCACTGTATGCATAAAAGCTTGTCTCAGTGCCTTTCAAAGGGAGAAAGGTCAAGCTAACTGGAACTGGAGCACTCATTTTACCAGTGCGTGGTTACATTACCTCTGACTGAGATGTCAGCTGGGTCAGACTAACATAGCCAAGACCTGTGTGTGGGAGTGTCAAGTGGTGAATTCTCATTGAAATGACAGGGAACTTGCATCTTCATTTGAATTCCTCCTGGAGACTTTCAGAGAACATTTGCTTTGGTTACCCCTGCAAGCCCCAAATCACTTTTCAGTCTGAGGTGTTCGTGTTGCCCTCTGCTATTCCACAAAGACTACTGAATACTTAAGATTGCAGTTTATAAACACAAGTAGACTTTGTAAATTTAACACTTTTCCTTTATGCAAAGAGAGGGAATGCTCAAATTCAGCTACGATGATGCCAAGTTTTAGCATAAACAGAGTACTGGGCGGTAACACCTGAACCATACAAGGGCCGAAGTATTAAAGAACCTGGAGGTCACTTAGATGAGGTAAGAGGTCACTAGAGATGGAGCTGCACAAAGGGCAGTGGCAGCCACACAAGGCAAGTGTAAGACACAAGGTGCATCTGTGTTTGGCTTTGGAATTACACACTTGTGTGCTCTGCTGAATAAAGCTTCCACTAGCACTGCTGATCTGCAACACAAACCTTCTCTACAGATCTTGTTCCTTCAAGTGGATCAACACTAAGCTTCTCCAAAGAGAGTTCATAAACTGCTAGCTAAGAGTCCACAGTGCCCTATTAAAACCACATTTCTTAAGTAATCAGGAAGCTTCACTACCAGTGTAATGTAATGACTTGTAATGACTTGTAAAAGCAAGGGGTGCAAGGTAAATCAGGAATGAGAGAGTCATATTTAGTTGCCCATGCTCCTTATTTGCTCTGTGCACTCAGATACGGCAACTGGTTTTTGGAAACCTTGTGCTTCTCTGCTTGAATCGGCTTTGATTCTTCCCTTACTTAGGTTTAGCAGGGATAGGATGTAGCCCCTTACACGGTGTGGCTGCTTCCTGAAACATGGTGTTAGATGCACAGATGTCACTTAAGAAATCACTTCAGCTACAATTTAGGATACAAAGCAGAGGAGCTGTATGATAGGACCAGTGCAGTGCCACTAAATGCAGTCTGTCATGTGAATTTATGGTAAGTAAACATTAAGATGCACAAAAATAAGACTCTTGATATCCCTCCTTTTTCGCACTGTCCCTCAGAGCTTTGTTTCAGCCTCACACTGATTGTGCTGTTCATTTCTCTTGATTTCTTGTGAGATGCAGCAGAATCCCTTAATGCTGTGCTGGGGAACTGGTTCTTGGCACTGGAGAGGCAACTGATGATGCACTGACTGAGCAGAACTAATGACTGCAACTGCTCAATAGTCAACTTCAGTGATATCCACCTTTTATAAGCATCTGACAAAAATCAGAGGGCCAAGGTGGTTTGGGCTCAGGCAAGTACAACCCATGGATTTCAAATGGTTTCAGGTATTTATGAACTTCCTACAAGCACCATCAGATGAGGCTGATTCTGAAATGAGACCCTCCTTACATTTGAACAATGTATGTTATGCCTCACATTGGATTTTTTCTTGCAGTTCTCAAGGCATTCCCCCATCTGCAGACTGTACTTTTTGGTTTGTAACATCCTCTAAAGAAATCTCTGTGCATCTTTAAAACAGAAATCGGGTAAAAGATCAAAATGCAACTCAAAAGAATTGTTACAGTTTTCAGCTATTCTGGGTATTGCTGTTCTCTGTCATTACAATAACGCAGCCTGTACCTGAGCTCCTGTCAGGGGAATGCTGGAACATCTCTGATAATTGAGCTCTTTTTATGCCCTAATAGCTCTGGGAATGTGGGGAAGAGTTAAAACCGGTCTTAGCAACTACTGAACAAGGGGCTCAACATCTTGTTCCAGAATTCCTCTTTCTGGCTTAGAGATGAATTCTCTTGTCAAGAGAGAATTAAGCTGGAGGCAGCTGTCTGCTGAAACAACAAAGCCTGTTAGAAACTATCATGGAAGAAAGAAGAACTCTTCTCATTTGAAATTGCTTCAGTGCTTAGTATAGACGAAATGGAACTTCTCAAAGTTCATCTAAGACCCAAGAAAACTGGGATTTATAAGCAGGTGGTAACAAGCAAGTGCCAATTAATTACTTAAAGGCTTTTCTTGAGATCTGAGGGGAAGACCAGAAACCCAGGTTCCTTCATGGCCCTGAAGCACCGGCCTGCCAGTACTGTGCCACCATCAGGGGCCACAGAATGGCTGAACAACTGTTCAGATGCTTTATTTGCCAAAGTGAAGTGTGACTCAGAACTGTGTTAGCTAAGAGGGACCCTTCATCAGGGACTGTAGTGACACGACAAGGGGTGATGGGTTCAAACTGAAACAGGGGAGTTCAGGTTAGATACAAGGAAGAAGTTCTTTACTGTGAGGGTGCTGAGGCGCTGGCACAGGGTGCCCAGAGAAGCTGTGGCTGCCTCAGTGTTCAAGGCCAGGTTGGATGGGGCTTGGAGCAAGCTGCTCTAGTGGAACGTGTCCCTGCCCGTGGCATGGGTTGGAACTGGATGATTTTAAGGTCCTTTCCAACCCAAACCAGGCTGGGATTCTATTAGAAATACTAAACCCAACTGTGCTTACCTTGGCCTGTGCATGAAGGAGCAGGCAGTCTGCTTTCCTGACTATCTTTAGCCACTTGTGGGAGTCAATCAGTGAGAAACCTTCCTGCAATAAAGCAGAACACAAACGGCTCACAGAGCAAACATGCACCACTCAGAAGTCCACACTTGTTACATGAGGGAATTTAACCCCTAATGAAGAAGAGTCACCTGCATCTGTGCAGCTTCTGTATCTGTCAAACAATTACCATTATGTCATTTTTCAGCAAACAGGGGATCAAATCTGCAGCTCCAGTTCCAACGCTGTCAATCATGTTCTAATTTTCATATATACTTTACATTTAAATTGGTGCATGTAATGGAAGTCTCCATGAAATGCATAATAAAACAGCCACAACAGAGCTTGAAATCCTTCCTCATCCTGTGAAGTTGCCCGAGAGGGCAGCAGAGGGCAGGCAAACCTGGAGAATGGGCTCGAAGTCGGTTTAGTTGCTGCCCAGAGGCATTTCTTCCAGATGGCATTCAGGTAAACAAGATGCAGCTTTGATCACTTGATGAAGATGTCTTTATACTCTGGTTGCAGTAACTGTCAGGCTCTCCCAACAAGATGGACTGCTCAGCACTCTGAAAATACCTTGGGAAGCTGAAAACATCAGATAAAAATGGCAAGGCAATGGACTGTGTCTCCCACGGTACCTTCCACAGACTGCCACATAGACATTAGTTAGAAAAGTCGGGGGGGGGGGGGGGGGCAAAACCCAAACTTAAGGGCAGGGAAGAAATCATCTATTTGTTTTATCTGAACTTCTAATGCCTTCAATGACCATGGCTTACTGCATAGGCTGCTTTTCCTACATGTGGTCAGAAACCACAAGCCATATCCACCCTGGACCTCCTGCAGTATATTTTTGCAAGTTACTATATATCTGCTACAGGTCCAGGCAGGGAAACCATCTGCTTTTCTATTTTGGTACAAGAAGTCACCTCAGGCACTGCTGGCACTGGCTTTATAGTCTCATGGAGCAATCATGTGTAGATTTATAACTGAAATTCTACAGAGAATGTCTAGAAAGCATTGAAGATTAATGTTTTGCTGGAGAAGCATAGCGGATCACAGACATGAGGCTGCTCAGACACCAGCTACAACAAGACTCCGGAGTGGTAATGGAGCAAGTTCTGAGGTTCATAGGTCAATGAATTCAGAGCAACAAGAAAGAAGAACACAAAAAACCTGTCCCTTGTTGCGTTGTGTGAAGCTGAGAGGATCTCTGCCAACACTCAGGAGCAAAGTGTGGCATAGATCCTGACAAATGCATGGCAATACATTGAGATTACGGTCCATTTCTGCCTTTCCAGAGGTGATGAACTGGCTCTAAATCTGCTCTGGATGTATGCACTGGCAAAGGAAATAGTAGTATCCCTCCAGACTGCTGCTCCACCAGGCTGACAGAAATACAGAGAACACAGCTGCTGTGGCACTGTTCTTGGGCAGGCAGCATCCAGAGCTGCTTTACATTGCGAGTTGGGCTTTGCTCAGCAGCATTGCCATGAGCAAAGACAGATGGCAGTGTAAGACTGATCAGGAATACAGACCAAAAGGCAGCCTAGAAGTGGGCAGAACAGAAGCCATCAAATGTTTCCAATATGAAGGGAGAAATGGCAGGGCTTTTCTAAGTGTGATCCATCATTAATGTTCACTGATGTAGATACTCATTCTCCAGGATCATACTTATAAGAACCCTGTATTAAAACAGTTTCCTACATCTCTTATAAAAACCTAAGTTACTCAGAGGAAGGACCCTAAGAGGAATTAAGCTGAAGCAGGAAACAAAAACAAGACCTTTCCCAAATCTTTCGGAAGCAGGCAAGATGCAATCCCAACCATATATGAGGTAGGGAAGGCAATGCTGCTGCTCTAGCCTGCCAAACCAGCTAGTCCAGCATTAACTGGGAGATACTTTTGTTCTGATTACACATTTCAGTATTCCAAGAGCTGCTGGGTGCTGAGACCTGTGGTTTTGGAAGATGCTGTGTGTTATTTATGAATAGTTATTACTGTATCATTCAGAAACCCTGTGGTGCTGAATGACACAGGAACCTAGGAGCAGTCTCAATTTCCTGCTAGAGTGTAAGGCCTTTAGTCAAAGCCTACCTTAAGTAAGAATGAATATATATATATATATATATATAAAATGTTAGTTGTGTACCAGCTCAGCTCTGCTGCCTTGCATCAATCAGTTTGGATTCACTCATTTATGAGACTGTTTCCAAATGAAACTGAACTATGTGTAAGCAATAGCCTAGGAAGAACTTCCTTTCTGGCACAAATGTTACAGACTGTGCCCTTAAATTACAACCAGTATTAAAAAAGACATACCCCAGGTGCCACACACAGAGAGACACATTCACCAGCTTGGCTGCTACTTAATGGGCTCATGCAATGCAAATAGAATTTGTTGTCAAGAGTTCCCAGTTCACCATAAATGTAATACATACAGTGTATAATCTCCTGGATTAAGGAGTCACCTGGGTATCCCACACACTGGGAATATGCATGTGGAAGAAATGATGAGTTCAGCATGAGATCAAAGGAATTTTATTGTATGTATTAATAAATATCCCAGCATAGCTGACAGAATGATCCTGTCTGCTAAGAGAAGCAAGACTGCTGAAGACTGCTTGCACCTTTCTGGTTCAGTCTTGGCAGCACCATGGCACACAATTCCCAGAAAATAAAGTGATCCCCTACTTCCAAAGACCAAGCTCCATTTCCAGAGAGGCACCTGTGACACCTCCTTAATCCATTCATTTCCCAAGGTAAACTCCCAAAACACAACTTTGGGAGCAAAACTAGCTTAGTAGCCCCCACAGTGCCTCTGCAGGGCAAAAGAAGGGGTTTGGGGAAAGCACTTTGCTGGGGAAGGGCGGGGTCCTCTGAGCACTCACCTGCAACACTGCACAAAACAATAGGGATGGCTGAAATGACCTGCTGCTTTCCCCAGATGGAGATAGGTCCCACTGTCCCATCCAGAGCTCTGCACCATGGGCCTGCTCACCACACTGAGGTACAGTGAGAAATGCTTACAGAAACACTATTCACTGTCTAAAGTGCGATTTGTTAAGTTACAAATATCAATGTTTTGGATCTCTAATAGTCTAGGTATTATTATTATTTAACATTTATACTGAATAATACCTTAATTGTTCTTAGAAGTGACTAATTTGGCAGCAAATGAACAGAAATATTATTTCCAGGTATCTACACAGTGTGGTTAATACATCTGATAAGACATCTGCAGTGGAACAGAAACACTGTAGTTGAGAAGACTGTCAAGAGACAATAAAAATAAGGATGTGAGAGCAGACAGTGTGAGAAAGCTTATAAATTATCTTCAACTATTACATGGAACACTAAAGAGAAGGCAAAACTAAGATGCTTTGAGAAAAGCAAAATTGGAAAGCATGGTTAGAAATTAAGTACTTTGATGGTGACCTCTTTGATAGGGATTTAGTTATTAGTAAGTTGTTATAATAAGAGCAACTGTGCATGGTTGATACTTGGCACATAGGTTATAATTCAAATTCTTGTATATATCTGAAAAACACTAATTTTTAACTCGTTGCCTTCCCAACAGAGAATGAGAGTTGCCACTTTGCACTTTTAAAATGAAAAACTGCTTACTCTGTAAAAAAATTGAAAATTCTTCCTTTCATTAAGGGTTGTAGAATAAAAATATAATTGCAGCTTAAAGTTAGAATTTAATTCCTGATATGAAATATCTATTTCCTTAGATCAATATCATACTTAAAACTCTAGGGTCATTAATGGCTGTCACTACTCTTTAGAAAATATTCTAATAGTTGGGTTCAGAAGAACTGGGGCAAGAGAAAATTAAAGATCAGGACCCTTTAAAACTCTTTACTGCTGCCAGTCACCAGTGCACAGCATCCCAGAATGGTTTGGGTTGAAGGGACCAGTTCCAACTCCTGACATGGGCAGGGACACCTTCCACTGGAGCAGCTTGCTCCAAGCCCCTGTGTCCAACCTGGCCTTGAACACTGCCAGGGATGGGGCAGCCACAGCTTCCCTGGGCACCTCATAGGGAAGCACTTCCTTATATCTAGTCTAAATCTACAATAGGAATGCATCATTATATCAAACACAGATGGGGAAGTTAAGGCAGAAAGAATCATAGAATCATAGAATGGTTAGGGTTGGAAAGGACCTTAAGATCATCCAGTTTCTACCCCACTGCCATAGGCAGGGACATCTCACACTAAACCATGTCACCTAAGGCCTCGTCCAGCCTGGCCTTGAACACTGCCAGGGATGGAGCATTCACAACCTCCCAGCGCAACCCATTCCAGTGCCTCACCACCCTAACAGGAAAGAATTTCCTCCTTATATCCAATCTAAACTTCCCCTGTTTAAGTTTTAACCCATTACCCCTTGTCCTATCACTACAGTCCCTAATGAAGAGTCCCTCCCCAGCATCCCTATAGGCCCCCTTCAGATACTGGAAGGCTGCTATGAGGTCTCCATGCAGCCTTCTCTTCTCCAGGCTGAACAGCCCCAACTTTCTCAGCCTGTCTTCATATGGGAGGTGCTCCAGTCCCCTGATCATTCTCGTGGCCTCCTCTGGACTTGTTCCAACAGTTCCATGTCCTTTTTATGTTGAGGACACCAGAACTGCACACAATACTCCAAGTGAGGTCTCACAAGAGCAGAGTAGAGGGGCAGGATCACCTCCTTTGACCTGCTGGTCATGCTCCTTTTGATGCAGCCCAGGATACAGTTGGTTTCTGGGCTCAAGCGCACACTGAAGCTGGCTCATGTTCATTTTCTCATCGACCAACACCCCCAAGTCCTTCTCCTTGGGCTGCTCTGAATCTCTTCTCTGCCCAGCCTGTAGCTGTGCCTGGGATTGCTCCGACCCAGGTGTAGGACCTTGCACTTGTCGTGGTTAAACTTCATGAGGTTGGCATCAGCCCACCTCACAAGCGTGTCCAGGTCCCTCTGGATGGCATTCCTTCCCTCCAGCGGATCAACCGAACCACACAGCTTGGTGTCATCGGCAAACTTGCTGAGGGCACACTCAATCCCAC